ATAAATACAATTCATTTTCCCACTCATATTGATATTTAACTAATTTAAATCTAAATTCTGAACATTTTCTAAATTTTCATCGTATATCAGTTTTCCCTTAACAGATATTGCAAGCAAAGTAATTTCTGAAATCGGAAGACAGAAATTTGCTTCATGCAGTCATCCTTTAACAGTAAAAGCTTAACTACCCGCATACTTGAAAATTGGCGAATATTCGAACAGTTGAACGTAATTTGAAAAAGAGGAGCGGAGGGGGGATAGACTGCAGCCGTTCTTTGGTTTTATCCGCTAAATAAATGCTTTTTACATTTCGATATGTGCATCAAATAAAAACAAACAAACGGAACAGAAAAATATTCTGCTTAGCAAGCACAGTAAAACTCTTTCAAGTGTTCATAAACAAATTTTGGACCGAAAATCAAAATTATTTATCTCTGCACAATATCGCAATCGGAACGTTGCGCAATCGGATTCAACAGCCGTCGGTATTGGGAGAATAAAGAACTAAATAAAGGAAAAGAAAGACTTACCAATCTGGGGTGTTTTTCATTCTGATTTTCAACAGACTGCGTTAAATTTCCGGAATAGAATCATTCTTCGCTTGGGTTGGTAGACCGCAGAACTTTTAGTCCTATCCTATTGGAAAGTGACAAAAAAAAAAAAAGTCCGTTGTTTGTTTTGCAGCGAACTGTAACAGTTTCAATTTTCGAGATTTTGCGGAGAAAGGGGAGAACCTCTCAACCTTCGTACTGTATAATGTGTTGGCCAAAAAAATGAAATTATTTTGACTGTTCGATTACTTTCCCTTTATTTAAGCTGTTCCGAATATTAATTATTAGAAAGCTAATCTATGTTAAAACACAACCATTTTTGGTTGAATTCAGCAGTTACTGCAAATATGTTATTATAAACATTCATACATATGCTCATAATATAAGCATAACGATCATAATAAACACGAATATGAACTGACCAAGCGGAACGAGAATGCAAATTATTAAGATCTTGATAGAAATTCAAACGTGTGTAATATTTGGGTGGGAGGAAAAGAATGCCGAATGTATTGGAATTTTCTACTGCTTTCGCTATTCTTTGACCAACAGAACGATGGGCACCTGTCTGTACTCTCTGCGCACACCAAAGATAACGTGAATGCAGAGAAAGGGGGGGGAAAAGCTATTTCTGGGAGTATGATTCACCATCTGACATTCCATATTAAGAAGAAAAGTTGTTTATTTAGTTTCGGCTTTGGTACGGGGAAAAATTGCACGTTCATTAAAAAAAAAAAAAAAAAAAAGCACTAAAAGCAAAAAGTAAGCACTAAAAACAAAAAGGCTTTAAAGAAAAAGTAAGCACCTATAAGAGCCTTTATATTTTATTTTCAAATATAAGGACTTATAAGCACTTATAAGGACCACTACGAACCCTGTATTATCAGACTTAAGTCTTTTCAAATCAGACTAATTTATGATGCTACTTTATAAAATCACTTACCTGTACTATTGCAGCTGTTTCAGTGCTTGGATATATACACTGGTTATCATAAATTAAGGAAAAATCATGATTACAGAAAACGTTACATGTAGAATTTAATGAAACTTACCCACAATATACAACACATAGTAAGGTATCAAATAACAAAAAGAAATTACCAGACAAATATGGTAGTATAGAAATTAGCACATGTATAAAATAAACAAATCGAAGGTGTCAATTTGCTATAGGAAAAGGACCTTGAATATGGAATAGGATTACCTCTAGAACCAATACAGCGATGTGTGATGCTTTCAATTATGTGGTGTATCAGTTCCATAGGAAGCGAGAGCTATTGCTCTTGCAAAGCAGTTGCAAGCGCAACGAGGGTCTGAGGGGTCGGATTGAGAGCAGCTAGACCTCTCCCTAAAGCATCCGAAACGTCCTCGATAGGATTCAAGTCCAAGGATCGAGCTGGCCACTCCATGCGCATAATTGTTTTCTGTTGAAGATAATCATGTACGAAGAGAGTCCTGTGTGGTCTTGCGTTGTCGTCCTGTAACAGGAAACATCACCTATTGCCCCGGCATGTGGGCACACATAAGCATCAAGGATGTCATCTCTATAAACATGAGCATTCACGGTTCCCCTTGGAAAACCCTGGAGGTCTGTGCGTCCACCCAAAGAGATACCACCCCAAACACAGATACTGCCCCTTCCGTATATTTGACGGATGATAACAGGTTCTAGGTTCTCTCCATATCAAATAACGTGTACTATCTCTTTCTAGACTAAACCTGGACTCATCCGTAAAGAGAACCATCTTCCATTGATCTAGCGTCCGGTGGACATGTTGTCGTGCCCACTGAAAATGGTCCCACCTATGGCGTGATGTGAGCAGCTGGTCGCCTCGCATACAGACCACCTTTGTGAAGTCTTCTATGCACAGTTGACATTGACATGAACCTTCCGGTGGCTGCAGCAAGGGAGGATCTAAGAAGAGTCGGAGTAGCGATTTTATTCCTGCGTGCACATAATGTCAAATATTGGTCATCTGCGCAGCAGTTGGCCGTCCTTGGCTGAACCTCCTAGATGCTGAATCTGTGGTTTGAAATTGCCTCTAAAGTCTATGACCCACAGAAGGACTCGCATTTAGCCTTCTGGCCACTTCTGTTTAACTTTGTCCTGCCTCTATTCTCCCAATGGCTCTCCATCGCAGTTCTGCAGGTAAATGATGCCTGGAGGTCATTGTTAGGAATTGGCTATCACAGATTTCTGATGTCACTGTCACAGTGAAATATGTGGGCTTGCTCTCAAACATGGACCTTTATGCTCCTCGCAGATGACGTATTCCCAAAGCAGCACCACTAATTTGCATATCGCAGTTTTACTCAGCTACTCTTACTTGGTAACATATTCAAATTTTACACAGTTTCTCTTATTTTTGAGGGAGTTATCGCTATTTTTGTAATTTTTCCTTAATTTATGATAACCAGTGTATAATAAAATCACCATGACGAATAGCCTGCACTAGTATAGATCCATTCGGTTCTATTATTCTAGCATATCGTTCTGTAAAAATCACTGAATGATTATTTGTGGTAGCTTTAGATGTTGACAGCAAATTACATTTTAATTCCGGAACACATAGCACATTTTTGAGTGCAAGTTTAATTGTCTTATTTCCGTTAGGTACTGTTCCGTTAGGTAGTTCCAATTCCTGTAATTTTTTATGTTTGTCAACTGCTAGCTTTATAGTTGAATTCAGTTGAGGGTGAAATTCTGAAAATAAACTTTGCTTATTGCACATGTGAGATGTACAGCTACTATCTAAGCGCCATGAGGAAGTCTTCTGATAAGCATTGTTTACTGCTAAACTAATATGCTCTCCATAATTAGAAGCCATCATAGAACCTTGATTTTCCTGATTTGATTGTGCATATTTTCTATCAGCTATTTTCTTTCTGCATTCAGATGCCTTGTGCCCAATTTTCGAACAGTAATTTCACTTCAAGTTTCAAAAATTTCTTTCAGCAGGAAAAATTTTGTTTGAATTTACCTTTCATTTTTCTTCTTTTGTTTTCAGTATAGTACGCATTCTGCGAATCTTGAGATGTTTTCCCTTTTCTTGCTTCCCATTCTTCTAGCATTTTGATTTTCAAAGATTTGGGACTCGGAAATTGATCTCTTGATTTGATGACGATCTAAAATTTTGATTTCTGGAATATATTGTAGAGCAGAAGAATCGATAATAAATCATCAGCTATGTCAATTTCCATTTGTTTAAGCTTGTCAACTATTTCAAAGAAATTGTTCAAATGTTCAGACATCGTTTCGCTTTCCGCCATTTTTCTAAATAAAAGCTGTTTAACAAGGTAGCCTTCTTCGCAGGTCCTTTTGATTCATATACGGATTTGAGTTTATTCCACACAGCATTTGATGTCACACAGTGCTTTGTATGACACAATTCACTAGGATTAATAGCAAGAATTATATCTGCGTGAGCTTTTTGATCAGCTTGGAGCCATTTCTTTTCATCTTCGGTTCCTTCAGCAGGTTTTAGCTCTTTACCTGTACATAACACCAATGGTCATTTTTAATCAATACAGCTGTCAAAATTATCTTTTCTGAGCTTTTCTATAGTAGTCAAATGCGACATAATGTAATACAGTCTCTCACAGCCAAAAACAAAATGGAGCGATAGAAAAATAGGCTTAACTAAATGCTGATCACTTCTTACCGTTGATTAGGCTTAAGAATTCAATGCTCGAAAACTTCAAAATATTCATTTCAAAAGAAGTATTTTGCTACTTAGGCGTAGTTGAAACACTCCTGGGCCCATAACCATTGAAGAACTAAATGAGCCTAAACAGATTGTAACATCAATGAAAATTTTTAATGAGAGAGATTAACTTAAACATATTTTCATACAGCACAGAAAAACGAAGAAGTTAGAACATATACATACACACGTAACAAACAGTTACGTCAACACCGCGCGGATAAATGCAAATGGCGTATGCGTCAGAAGCACTCTTAAGCTAAATGTCGTATTATAATTTATGATACAGAAAAGAAAAATATGTGAGGTAATGGCAGTGATAGCAAATTAGTCTCATAATATTTCCTAATGGTTTTTATCCACTGGAGATATTTATTCTTCCTTCGTTTTAGTGTGTTCTTTTTGTTAACACATTGAATTTACATAGCTAAATGAACTTATTCTCCAAATGAAACCATTTTGATATACAAACAAATTGTTCTTTTTGTTAATTATAATACGAGTTATTGCTCTTTTTTTTTTTTTAACTGCCCTAGGACTAACTGTTATTGAGTTAACCATGAGCATTACCCAGCAATAGAGAAAAAATTTGTCAGATAAATGACAAGTTTATTGAAGTTTTTATCCAAGATTAACTATTGTATTAAGAATTGTGAAAAATACTTATTAAAAATATTTTAATCTAAAAATTTATAATTGAATTTTCTTATTTATTACATATTACTAATATTTTCTTTTTATTTAGGTATGATTACTGATCTGTATATAGATGTCTATAAATTCAAAGGCATTAATGTGAAATCCAAAGTGCCTTCTCTTCTTCAGATATTGAACAGCTATGACCTTGAGACTTTAATTGCATTTTTCCAAGTGAAAAGATAGCTAATACATGCTCTATTTTATTTATCATGCCACTGAAGATTTGCTATTTTAAACGTCACACATGCATACATATATATATGTTATTAATAAAGAATTATTAATAGACTAAACAAAATAAATTCTGAACTAACTCTTCAAAGACATCAAAGAAATTTAATTTTAAATTAGCGCTGTTTTGAAATTTAAAAAAAAAAAAAGAGTTAGTTTTTGTAAATGAAAAAAAAATTAATGAAGTGTTTTTAAATTACAAGAAATTTTAAAAACAATAGAAATACATTTAAATACATAAAAAATTGAAAAGGAACACAATTAAAATCTCATTCAGTGTTATTCAGAGAATACAGATGAGACTTGATTTGAACCCCATTCCCAATTAAAAAAACTACAATGTTTCTGCTCATCCAAAATTAGCTGATGAACTATTAAAATTATTCAGTTATTATACTTATCCAAAAAATTATGAATGCCTCCTCTATACAGCCAGCCTTCTATTTATATGAAATACAAAAATACAAATTAAAATGAATACACTCTTGTTTCCTAATAAATTAATATGCACTATCTATTTGACATTGAAGATGCAACACCAACAAGGAGTGGCCTGAAAATTATACAAATTTCAGGGTAGATGCACATCACAAAGTTAGGTGAATGATGTTAAATGTGCAGCTATCCAGCACATGTTGAAGAAGATATAAGGGAAGGAACTTGTACAATGTTCAATTTTCATGCTGTTATTTCTGCTACGGAAATTATCTTAGAAAATTTGCTTTTGTCTTAGAGGATGTGTGTAATAGGAGAGAATGCAGACAGACAGACAAATTTAATGAGGGACATGATGATCAGACTGAAAAGAGCAAGTTGCTCCATATGGTAAATCTCAGCTGACACACACCTGGACGCGTATACAGTGCATCAGTTGTGGCGACGATGGTTGGAGCGAGGAAATGTGGCAAGTTTAAGGGGTTCCGAAGTAGCCAGAGTGATGTCAGCATCTGTGGATCAACGTATCTGCCAACAAGAGGTGGCATACACACAAGCTATTTCTACCTCCATTCTGCAGCATGTTCAAGATGCAAGATATGGATATGTACCCATATCGACCAGAATCATTTGCCATTAATTGGTGGCTAGTGGCCTGCAATCAAGGCATCCATTAAGAAGACTGCCACTGACTCCACATTATAGACGCTAATGTCTATATTGGTGGTGGGCTCAAGCGATCACCAATGTAGACGTATTGGTGGTGGATGACACACGATGATGTATTCTCAGATAAGTCACACTTCTGTTTCTCCAATGAATCACCACATACAAGTGTGGCATCGATGCGGAGACAAGTCCAATCCGGCAGCAATTGTAGAACGTCCCACTGCACAACAATTTGCAGCGCAATTGCATAAGATTCCACGTCACCTCTAGTTCGTATTCAGGGCATTATGACGGCCCAATGATATGTGAATGATGTACTGCGGCCGGTGACACTCCTGTACCTTCGGGGAGTGCCCAGTTCCCTTTATCAGCACAACGCCTGTTTTAAACACACACACTGCTGACATCAGCAAACATGCTCTGCAAGTATATAGATTTCTTCCGATCTCTCACGAATGGAAATATTCGGGGTGTGATTGGATGCCATTTGCAGACTCCGCCATTGCCATATTCAGAAGATGAATTGTGGCAAATGGTTGTCAGGAAATGGAGAGCCATTCCTCAAGACACCATCCCTAGTCTCATTGACTCTGTACCTAGACATGTTGCTTCATGTATCGTCATCCAAGATGATCCTAAGACCTACTCAGCCGACCGTGTTCTTGCTCTGTGTTATGCATATCATTTCGAAATAAAGATGACTTATTGTTTGTTGCTAACTCTGTTTGCTGAGTTTCATCACTGTGCCACTCCACATTTTCAATGTTGGGTAGTGCATATAATTTACTAATACAAAAATTCTTTATATGAAATAATTTTAAGATCTTTTTGTTTAAAAAAAAATACTGTATTATAAATAAAGAATATATACACAGTAATTCAAGAATATCTCCAGAAATATAACGGAAAGTAGAGAGAATCAGAATAAGTAGCTTTTATAATGGAATATATGTAGGGAAATGGTTTGTTTAATTGGTGTAAGGTGTTGTTTTGATAACACGTAATTGAGACTAAAAAACAGAAAATAAAATACAATTAAAAAAGGGATTTTATACAATACGCTTTTATTTAAAATGGATGAGATAATGCAATAAAAGAAGAAAAATAATTTATATAGCTTTATGGGAATAATAGATTGAATAGTTTTATTTGCAAAATTCATCTACAGTTTTACATAATGAATAAAAAAGTGTGATCTGCACATGACAAATTAAAAAGCTAATGAATTATACATTGGACAAAGCTATTAACAGAAAATTTAAATAAGACAATGTCTTGTATGATGCTATTTAGTTCACAGATTTCAATTATTTAGGCACCCCATGCTTTTTTTTTATTTATGATATAAAATTGTTGATATGGTCTGTAAATAAATTATTTAATCTGTTTTATTCTCATTAAACTATATGGTAAATTATTTTCCTTGTTTTAGTTCAGCAGTTATTATATCCATTTTAAATAAAAACTTACTGTACCTTTTGAAAATGCATTTGGTGCACAAATTTATCAAAATTATAAATTAAAGAATGTCATATGCTAGCAAATTATAAAAGAATATCACTAAATGTCATGAAAGGGGGAGAAATGAAGCCAAAAGTACTAAATTCTGAGATTAAATAAATGTCACTTTTTGTTGTGTGGGAGTCGGGGGGGGGAATTGTTGCATTTGGTCATAGAAAATCAGGAAAATTACATTTCCATTTCAGGGCTACTTATATGGGTACTTATAATAAGTGATATTACTGTTATAAATGAATAATAATGAGACAAGCATTATTATATAAAATGCATAAATGATATACTGAAAAAAAAAAGACCAAAAATTTGTTAAAAGATGGAAAATAATTTATTCTTTTTAATTACAATTATGAAAGAAAAAATTTTACATACTTAAAAATTAAGTGAAAAAGAGGACATAACATTATTTGACAATCAGCATCTTAGGAATTAGCAAGCATGATACACACATGCATTGCAAACAAAATTATTTACAAAAACAATAAATGGAATGCCAGCATTACTGGATTAAAAATAAAGCTATAAAAAATTTCAATCAATGTTCATTAAAACTTTTTCTTATGTATAATAAAAAATTCAATACACAAAGTAGTTCTTTAAATAAGATATACATAAAAATTTTAGATCAAAATCTTAATATATCTGCTCTCTAGATACCATATATGAGAAACATACTTTTTTAATTAAAGTAATAACAGTGATTAAACTGTTGTACATGTGAGTTCCATTTCTAAGATGTTCGTTATAATTTAGGAATGAGAACTTCATGGCTATCTACAAATATATCGCTTCAGAGCTTAAAAATGTACATATTTATGGCATTGTTTTACATCTAAAGGACTGTACACAGACTAATGCAGCAGTAAGATGCTGTTAATGATACAGGCATAATACCTTTGGAATAATCACCAAATTTCTTAAAATGGCAGTTTTGTAACATTCAGAGAAAACTGGAAACATTTAATAAAAAATTTCAAAATGAAGATATATCTTAATCCTACCATTCCTATAAATATACAGACTTTTGTAAGATTTGATAATTTGGAATGAATATATATTGAAGAACAGTTCAATGCCTTCCTTCCATAGCCAATGGTATGCATATGCAGAACTGCGTACTTCTTGTATAATTTTTGTAGAAACAATGTCCATGTGGTACAATTAATGAGGCACGTGCTGAAATTTGTATAAAATACGAGAAGATATTCTATATGTCAATGTTAAACCTACTTTTTTCATACCGCAAATTTCTAACTGTGCACGATATGAATTAAGTTGAAATGGTAAGAAATACTCTAAGCACAGAAGCAATGGTTTAAACAAATTCATTAAAAAATAGAAATGCTTATGAGAATACAAATGGTGGTATAAAAACACTAGCCAGAAAATGCAGATGTAGAACACATGATGCGACTGTGCTTAAATGCAATTGTCTTAAGTATACTGTGGCAATGTTCCACAACACAACTAGAAAAATAAGATTGATCCAGCATGGTATTCCTTTTCATTTCTCAGACTGAGAATCTAAGAAGATTTGTTTAACATCCTGAAGTGCTTTTTCTATACAGCCTATAAAGCGTAACGTATCCTGTAAGGAAATTTCATAATAAATATATTACACAAAATGCAGAGGTATCTAAAAAACATTAATTTGACAATAATTAATAGTTAAAAATCAATTTGAATCACCAAGATTGTATATTACAAATTTGTTGTATAAATATTGCAGTAGTATATTTTGATATTAAAAATACCCATAGCCAAAGACTCCATTCTTTGCACCATCTGTTATATTATCTGTCAGATCTATCATCATATGTTAATAAGTATCTACTTGGATGATTTGCATAATGTGGCAAATTACAGAGCCTGTCTATACTGAAATCACGAATTTGATCAAGCAGATTGTCAATTTCATGAAGTGTTGCAATTGAATGTAAAAAAAAAAGTTTCTTTTTAAAATTTAACAGTATTAAAATAAGTATAAGATGACCCTTTACCATTCCAGATTGTTTGGGTCTGCTATGAAGATGGATCACGTTAGAGAACATGAATATCATGGATGTGGAATATTAATTAGTTACATTATTAGAAATATTAGTTACTTTAAAGGTGGTTGCTGTGCTTCAGTTATTTAAAAATAATTACATGCACTTTCTTATAATGCTTATGAAAGCATTATGAGAAGCATCTATACCATTAGTTCAATAAAAGCCCTTTCTAAACCACATATTTCCATAGAGAATCAGTTCATTATAATAGTTTAATTCATTTACATTATCATTTTTAAGCAATCTGTACTGGTACAAACATCCTATAATAGCATATATAATCTGCCTTCAAAGAATACTGGAAGGAAAATCTAAAAATAACCTCATTTATTTTCAAACAAATCAAATTTTACAATTATATATTTTAGGCCCTATCAAATTATTCTTCATTGACATTGATACACTTGTCCCAACATTTTGCCCATTGTTGAATTAGTTTCTAAACTCTTCACATGAAGTACTGTTCAAGGCATGTAATACATTTTCTTGCAAGGTTATCCATATGAGTAAATTTATATCCCATTTGAATCTTCTTTTATTCATTATTGGACAGGATAAAGAACATGTAGAGAACAAGGAAATAGAGGGTAATATAGGTATCATATGCTAAGAATTGTCAAATGGGCAGAGCTATGTAAGCTAGAACATTCTCAATCAATTACTTCTTGTCTACAATTTTGGCCATTTCTATTGCACAGTCTTTTTGAAATTTGCAATAAAATACCAGTTCAGTTTTGGCTTGGAGGATCAGAAACAAGTCAACAGTATTTTATGTCCTCTTTTTTTCTTTTTTTGTTTCACTTCTGCTAATACCCATAGTATCTAGGCTTATCTTCAAATATGATCGTTGTGGGAAAGTTTGGTTCATCATACATTCCTGCTTGAAGTCATAGTAAGCATTTACACATTTGTCTTTTTGCCTGTGTGTCATATATATTTGTCAGATAACTCTCTTATTCTTAGATCTTCAGCTAAAATTCTGTGACAGTTACTCCACCAAAAATTCTATTGATAGAAGTATGGATATTATGGACTGTGGATGAGGTGCATTTCTCCATAACTGGGAACGTAAACTCCAAGAACTATGTTCAGTGGGCAACAGCATTCTAGTCCTTTAATGTGCTTTTTGCAAATGTTTTATGTTGGCACTTTTCGCCATACGTGTATCATTCCAATGCCATTTATGATTTTTTAATGTGCTGATCGACTTTACGCAGGAAAACAGTGGATGTTGCCATTAAAAAATTTCAAAGTTTTTTTCACTGTAATTGTAAAGAGGAGAGCTCTGTTGCTCTAGATCATCACAATCTTGAATCATCAAATAATATCTGAAATTTCATTTCAATAGACCATTAAGGGTTCATATATCGGGGATGTTTTTAATGACCACCCTGTACACATATATGAATATATTTTCATTAAATATTGATAAAAGCTTTGAGATTATTTAATCTTATTTAGGTTAAGTAAATTAATTTTTAATACTCACAGTTTCAGGAGATGTTCTTTTACTAGAAACATGAAAAAACATCACATTTTCAGAAGCTATATCATATGATACACCATACCCGTCATCAGCAACCTACATGTTACAAAGAATTATATACTTTCTTTCCAGTGTCAGAAAAAAAAAAAAATTAAATCACTCATTTACACAAAGCTAGCTTGAAATGATAATAAAATAAATACTCTGAACCAAGGTGATAAGAAAAAATATGCAAGATAAAATTCTCTTATTTGACCAAAACAACAAAAATGCTTTTTAAAACAATTTTAACACAGGATATTATCACTTGTTTAAAACATATTAAATGAATATTTCATTGCACAAAGTTATACAAAAAAAAGAGAAATTTACATGAGAAAACTATATGTGGCAGTATAACTAAATATTAAACATCTAAAACTGCTTCAAATATAGGCATTAATTTAAAAAAATTAACAATATTGGTTTGTGTAATAGATTTTATACAGAGTTTAATGCATTAAATTCTGAAAGATACAATTTCTTTACTTTAAATACAATTATTCATAAAAGTTCAAATTTGCAACAATATCCTTGATGTTCATTTAAAAGTTGCACAACAGCTTTTAAATAAGTATAGAGTCAATGAAAACTGGATTAAAATTATAGTTTATACTAACATAAGAGGTAATGAAATACAAAAACACAAGCTTAGCAATAAAGCTAAATGGCTTATCATGAGTATTTGTAATTTAAAAAACTAACTGATTGCATAGCAATTTCAACTCCATATGTGCAATTTTTTTTCCTCCTTACTAATAATTCATTGTATGGTTTCACAATTTGAAAGTTTAAATAAGATTTTTAAAACTAAAGGCTTCTATGGAATTACTGAAGTAATTGCATTTGCTTTTATACTTTTAGTAATGTCACACAATTTATCTGAATTAAATATATACTCACAATAATATAGTAAAAAAGTAAAGTTTTTAGTTTAATTTTTTATTAAGTATCTTAGCAGTATACTTTTTAAATTTTTGCGATTCAATAAGAATATGAAAAGATTACAATAATATATTTAATGAGGGAAAAAATTCCAATACTGGCAGAACATAATTTTAGAGAATTTAATTCAAGATACTACTTAAACTGACATTCTAAAACTACTAATAAGAATATGAACAAGATTACAATAATATATTTAATGAGGGAAAAATTCCTATACTGGCAGAACATAATTTTAGAGAATTTAATTCAAGATACTATTTAAACTGACATTCTAAAACTACTAAAGAGATAGTTTTTTAGGTTTAATTCTGAAGTATTTAAATAAAATTTTTTTATCATTATATTTTACCTAATTTTTTTTTCAAGAATTTTATAACAATTTTTATTTTGCATCTTTTAAATTAGTATTGCTAAATTTTGTTCATGTTTCTGGCAACCTGTTAATTTATATTATGTTGCTTACACCTCCACCTGCATTTCAGACACAAAAAATAAATTTGTAAAAATATTTATAATTTGTATTTGTTATAAATTTTCAATTACAAAAGCTATCAAATCTTTCAGGCATTTATATTTTCTTTTAAAAAACAGATTACACTTACTATTTTAGTCTATCGTATGCCTGTAAGTTTATGTATAAAAGTTCAAAAAATGATTTTAAAGCATTTTTCATTCTGAAATAGATAAAAATCTTAACTAATGTTTTAATCATTCAGGTTGTGCTAAAAATGCATATACTTACTGGTCCAAAACCTCCACCCAAGCATACATAATCAGGATACTTTCTTGTATCTAAAATTCCAGCATGATTATGAGGTGTCTGAAAGTGAATTAAACAAATTATTCAAAATCATAGCAAAGCACATACTGTATTTCAGAAATAGAAAATATAACATATAAAACATACTTGACTAGTAGACAGCCTCCATGGCTCACCAAGAACTTCTTTTAAGAAAGGAGATTCCACACCTAGGTGTTTTGAGAGAACATATAGGCAGAAGATATGTCTGTCAATACCTTTTCCGCACATCACATTCAGATATGACTCTTGATGTTTATTGCAAGCTCTCTGCAGCAGTCTCAGTTTCTCCTTAGCCTAACATAAATTTAAACCACTGGCTGGTATTATGAATAAATATAAAGATTATGTAAATATACAAATTCAAGTGGACATTTTAGAGTTTATTGAAATCTGAAATATTTAAAGAATACCATGAAAGACTAGATTTTCTGAAAGTTAAAACAGTAATTACAAAACTTTAATTAGAAATTATAGAAGGAGGATGGCATATAAATAAGATGAGTCTACTGATTACTCTTATGTTTTAACAGAAAAAATAATACTCACTCCAATATCAGAATTATCTACAGCTAACACAAATTCACAGGATTCTTGGGTCACAGGTCTCACAGTTTCAGTTCGCCCTTCTCTAAACAGGCGCATCATAGATGCCTCATACGTAAGATTGAACCGCCCAGCATCCTGTTGATTACATAATATCAAGGTTAGTCTGTTGTTGCCTTAATTAAAAATTAGTGAAAACTTCCTTAACTATACTTTGCTGCATAGAAAGCTGGTAATTTTACTTTGAAATTTTCATAGCTTTTTAACCTTTTGCAGACAAGAAAGGATTTCTGCTTATATACACACAAATGATTAGAAATAGGTACATACAAACATTTGGCAATATGCTATGTTGCCTCCTATTTCTAATCATTTGTGACTCGAGTATAAATTTCATTATTGTTGGGGAACATTATTGTACAAGTTCAGTGTATACATACAGGAAACTTTTACCTAAAGGAAAAACCAAATGCTTGAGACAGTAGCATGTGTGTGAATGGGTTATGGCAGCCTGGGAAAATGTTAAGATTGAAACAATCATTAGATGATTTCTGAAGTGAGAATATCCAGTGCTCTAGACCAGGGGTCCCCCAACTTTTTGTACCTGAGAGCACATTTTAGAATATTTGTTGAATGGTGGACACCATTTACTTTTTCAAGATCAATTTGTCATTGGATAGAGTTAATACATGCAACAAAAAAAAAAAAAAAAAAAAAAGACGTTGGTTGCATTTCACTTTGTGCTGGTACCTTTGTTGGATACAATTTTTATTTCATTAAAAATGAGAAAACTTTCACAACTTTCACATAGAATTTTATTCAAAACTAAAACATTATTGTGATCACACAACAGCAGGCACCTTGGTGCCTGCAGGCTTAGGGTTGGAAACCCCTGCTCTAGACAGTTCTGAAAATGATGTACTGTGAGACATTGGTACTGGCAATAGCGATACTAGTTCAGCAGGCAACTACTACTGATAGTAAGTAAAAGGTGCTAAACACAGAAACATATGCGTTTTGATATAAAAATTTTGTTCATGCAGAATATTTATTTATCCAAATGCCAGACATTTGGCCACTAAGCCATTAGCCTTGATCTTGGTTCCCAATATCTACAAACAATAGAATTAAAAGATGATAGTGCAATGCATTCATCAATATGCTCCTTATCTATAGACTGTCCAGAGTTAGAATACAGACAGAAGAGCATATAGAGTCCTTAAGTTGAATTTGAAAAAAGATAGACATTCAGACAATTGTGTCCAGTCAAAAAATGAAATAACGCCCGAGTTACAGGATAAAGAAAATTTCATGCATTCCATTTTTATCACCTACATGGCTTAGTAAACTGCCAATTTAAAAAACATCTCCATTTAAGATGGCTAAAATTTTTAAGCTTAAAAAAAAAAAAAAAAAAAAAAAAAAAAAAAAAAAAAAAAAAAAAAAAAAAAAAAACTATCTTATCTGCAGATATTTTGAATAAAACTACTGATTTCAATGGCAATCTAGACATAGGCCTCTCTCTTTCAGAGGGGTTTTTTTTCTTCCCCCCCAAAAGGGAGGGGAGTGTTAACCATTTCATACAGAAACCAACAGCAAAGTGAAATCAAACATGGCACCACTGATCAAAGAAAATGCTCATGGAAGCTGTTAGCTTTTTTGTTGAACTTTAAATTTCATTTTGGTGTATTTCTCTTTCCATTAGGTAACATAACATCTAAAATTTCTCTTTCGAATTAAAACTAGACATTTTTAATTAGCTGAACAATTTTAAAGCAATTTATTTTTAATACATTTATTCAATGTAATTTATAATATGTTCACTTAATCCAGATAATTTATAAGGTTATATATGTTTACACTATGTAATTAATAGCAGATGTCAACAAAATACATTAAATACACACAAAAATACATTAAATACACAGCACAAAATTAATATTTGGCAAATTTAAATTACAGGAGAGTAATTATCCTTTATCATTTGAATACTAAATCAGCATCAAACAAAAAATCAACTAATCAAAACAGCATCTAAATTTCAAAGCATTGCCTATATATTGGGTTTTAACGAAAGTTTCCTGCCACCATAAATATCATCTGTGCAAACAGGTTGTGTTGGTGTGTTTAATCATATCTTGTCAAATTACTTTTGCCATTTGAAAGAAAGAGACTTGTTATATCGTGAAATTTTTTAAAAAATATCGTTATCATTAAGTACAAGGTGTCTCAAATGGAACTATCACACTATCAGATTAGAACCATCATTTACTTCCAGTTCTGTTGCAAAATGTCATGTAAATCAAGATGGACTGTGTACGGACACAAATGGGATCTTTCACCACATCCACAATATAGCCCCAAAATTGCTCCTTTGGACTTCTACCTTTTCTCACACCTGCAGCTACAACTTGTTGGTGCTTTCTTCCATTCTGCACAGGACATCCAAAATTAGGTTGATCTGTTTTTGGATTACTGACCACCAAGTGTCTGGGGCGAAGGCTTTGAAAAATTACCAAAACGTTGGCAGAAAATCATAGAATTGGGTGGTGATTACTACCCGCACTAAAGGTACTACTTTCATTTTTTTCCCCGTAACTTTACTAAGAATGATTTTTAGATTAAAACTTTCATTACAACCAGATGTTAATTCATAATTCTTGCACATAGGGAATTCAGCATCTCGTATTTACGTATTTTCCATGGATAATTAAAAACATGTCAAAATAAAATCTACATGATTTGTGTCATAATATTATGAAGACAATATACCAGAAAATTCTATAAAGTTTTGAATTGTAATTCTCATGGTCATTTTCCAACATTTATCAAGACTGAAATTTCAAGATTAAATTAAAAATTAATCACAAAAATTTCAGATTTATCAATTGCATAAATATACATACCCTAAAATAGGCAAGCTGAAGCACCATTTGTATATAAGCATCTGGACTAACTTTGCATGATTTTATAAAATTTTTACCATAGTCTGCATGATATAAAACTTGGAGATCCACTTCAGAAATGATAGCAGTAGCATTCTGCATTGATGATTTAATTAAATCCAGACACTAAAATGGAATATTTAGTTTGAATTACTTTTTCCAGTAACAGATAATCAATAAACTAACAGTGTGTGGGGGGGGGGGGGGGGGGGGCAGTGAATACACAGATCAAGTGAATCAAGTAAAAGAATATAAGAAGAAAACCTCTGGATGTAGATCCCATTTCAGTCTTATTGGGACAGGAGGAGGCTCTGTTACTTCACCAATAGTGTTACCATCTTCATTATATCTATGAAAATTATAAATTTATTTCTATTATATATTTAAATTTTATGTTTTGACATATAAATACATGAGCTATAAAGCACTGCAGATTATTTTTTAGACAAGCTCAGCTCAGAAAAAATGACATGAGAAAACACATTAAATGAAACCAAAATAATGTTTGATTATTTCAAACAATTTTCATTTTAACTTTAAAACGGCATCCCTCATCTTTTGAAAAACTTTCATAATTTCTCAAGAAATTCTGAGAAACATCTTACAAAATTTGCATAATTTCAATACTTCCTTTTTTAAATAAAGATAGCACTAATAAAAAAAAAAACATTCTAAACGATACATACAATTTATATCACTTGTAAACATATCACAAAATATAACACTTGCAAATATATAATGCATCTATAGTCTTTCTCAACATTGTAACAGAAATATTGGTTGTGTCTCCAGGGAATTGCAATGCCAACAACAAGATAAACCGTCCACTGTTACCTGTTTTATATGACGTTAGATGTGCAGTAGAAACATAAACTATGACTGAAGTTAGCAGTCACTGGCCTTGAATATTTAATTATTTGCATACTTGGTATGAAGGAATTTATTCGAATATAAAATTTTTAGATGATCCGATTACTTTTTAAATGTGCTTCATTTCCCCTTCCCAGTAGAATGTATATTGTCACTCAAGAGCACAGCTCTTCCAGAATGACAAATAAAAGAACAATAAACTTGGAACAACTAAAGGATACATGGCTTAAGATTTTGCTTCCATTTATAATAAATGGAATTTCTGCTAAAAATTTTATTGCCATAATACTAACTCACTTGGCCAACTCAGTTTCAATTATGTATTTTTAAAAGCTTTTTTAAAGTAAATAAATGGCTAATATTACAGAAGTGACATGCAGGAAACTCACTTAGACCGGTGAAATAAATCTTATTTATATTATATTCTCCATTTTATTTTTCTGTGAGGAAGAAAAATTTTTTTTTCATTATTTTCTTTTCATTCATTTATTTATTTATTGGTTGGTGGTCTCGAGGTCCAGGTATTAGATTCTGGATTTTGGACTTTGTACTATATATGTTAATTTCATTTTACACAGATGTACTTACAGATAACTGTAGACAAGGTCTCTCAAACAAATAATTCATATCTTAAGAAAACTTACTTAAGAGTAAGAGCTTCCATGCCTATGCAAAATTCCCAGAAATGAGACATTATAGGTGAATCACACCTAAAATGCAGTATGAAAAAATATTTTTTAAAACATTTAATTCAGTATAATGCATATCAATGAATACTTAACACAGGGAAAACACTAGGCATAATTAGTGTCCATAGTGCAAATGCACTAGCAAAAATTATTCATACTTATCAAAAATACCTAAACCTGAAAAACATATAGCGCTTTTCAGAACAATAATTGATATTTAAAAATCATCAGCTGAACATACTAAACTAACATATACCTGTATGTGTGTAAACGGAATATGTTAATATTTGAATCTTAGAATATGCACAGTAATAAGCCCATCTAGCATTTAACCGATCAGAAAGCTCAAGTAATCCAAATAGTTAAAAAATTTAACAACTCCACCCGCACAAAAAATTAAGTAAATGAGACATTTATAAAGCCCTTACAGGAAACTGTTGCCAAACAATGTAATTCAGCTTGATGTGATGAAACAACACAATTGTAAGATCTTTACCTTGATTTTCTGTAAACTCAATTACTTATCAATAACTTAATTTAGTTTTTGCAAAAAAAACATGTACGTTGATGGTTATTTTTCTGTTTTCAAATCACATTTTGAAAACATGGTTAAAAGTTGACACCTGTCTTCTATGGAACTGCATGAAATGGAGTATTTTTTAAAATTGCATGCATTAATGGGCACAATATGCAACTTTATAGAAAACAAACAAACAATGGTAATGGAATGTGTAAAATTATGATAAGCAATTTAAGTTTTTTATATGCTATATCAATAACTTTTATCTGTTGATTATCTATCTAAATAAAGAATGATCTATTCTCAGTTACATTAAGCTTCTACTGGAATGATATGCGGCAGTCTGACAATACCTATTTCTTTCCCTCTCTCGGCTTTTCTATCATGAATTAAAAAAAAAAAAAAAAATACTCAATTGTCTGGTTTTTTCATGCATATTGCATTTCCCAAGCTTTGCAAATAGTTGAGCTTTTACTGCACATACTGTAGTTAGCATACAGTATAATTCTCTTTTTCCCCACAACATATACCTGTTATTTCAGAGGTCAGCTATGAATAATTCTAATGGAAATTTGAATTAGCTTGATTACTAAAAATTTATAACACCTGCACATATTTTTAAGTAAGAATTATCAATTATTTACTTTTGAATAAATTATTCGTATGCCAAGATCTAATAAGAAAAAAGTATTTTTTAAATGATACTGTAAAAAGACCAGTCTTTAACTTAAACATATATTTAGTTTTTAGCCCAAAGGAGCGTTAGCTCAGAAGGGCTTGCTCAGAAGCGTTAGCTCAGAAACTTTTGTTTTGGCATTTTGCATTGAAACATTATAAATGGTGTATCACTTTTCAAACTGTTGCTAAAAAATATTAGAGCCCTGCATTATATTTAAAGAAATTAAATATTGAAGAATCTGCATAAATGTATGGATGCTTCTCGCACTGTGATCAAACAATAGTACCTAGAGCCATCCAGTTTTGAATAATGTAATCCTCCACCAAATATGGGAATCTGGAAGCCCTAATTTGGAATTTGTTTTATTATCGATTTTATATTTTGTAACACTAACGAATTTTTTATTAAGAAACTCAATGATTTCAAAGTGAGCAATGGCAACACTGTATGGGGAAAAATTTTTTTATCTCCAGCGTACAAGACTGTATCGAAAATCCTAAAGATTAGCTTATTTTAAAATTATTTTGCGATATTGCTGTTGAACTGAATTTTATGGTTTAAGTGCAAAGAACATGATATTTAATAAATACAGGTAACATACAAAACGTTAAAAAAAGCCGTTTTGGGCATAATGTAATATCTGAAAGCTTCCAAAATTTTTTAAACAATTTTAAATTTAAATAAAATCTTGCAATAAAAGCGGATAAACAAAACTATACCCGAGATTCTATTATGCAAATACTCTGTAAAACTATGAAGTATCATGACAAACTAAGAACTGTTCATGTGCTTTCTCTTTAAACATTTTTTTATGTGAAGAAACACTCAAATCAAAACTTAAAAATCCATTTCTCATATTTAAATATTAAATGCATATTTAATTTCTTATTAAATAAAATTATTAGTAATAACATCTGAGAAATTATTTTTAAAATACTCACCAGGAATGTTCACAGTTGCATCCCAACTAAAAAGATTAGAAAAGCCATTATAAGTAAGTTTTCGAATAAAATTATTAAAGCAAAAATAAGAAATAAAAGTAATGTAAAATGTGCTTAATGATCAGTCATTATTCCTCTGTTGCACAATTATACTTTTTTACCAACAGGATATTAAAAATTTTTTTAAATAATTTAATTTGCATTTTAATATTTAAATATGTATCAGTCATAAATATGTTACATTATAGAAACTGAGTAAAAATAACCATTCCAAAAACTTTGGGGGCAACATCTTAAACTAGCCAATCTTTTAATTTTTCTTAGATAAATATGAAAAACAAATTTTTATCGAAAAATAACTTACTCTGCCATTTTTTGAAACAACTATGTTAAATGATTTATCCAGCCACATAGTGTGACCTTTCCCATGGAGGACAGCCTGGGAAAACCGATTCAGCTTCTCAGGATCATTCTACAAAATATACAAATTGTTACATTTCAAAATGACTTCCTAAATAAATAAATAAAAATAAACACAACAAAATATTACATACCGGACTAAAATCCAATTCTTCATCATACAATACCAAGAAAAATGCAGCCTAAAAAATATTCTAAATTAAAAAATTGACTTATTTACATAAATAATACAACTGCCTATTTAGAAGTTTGTCAGATGAATTACCAAACAGCAAAACAAACTTACATCTTCGATTGTTTTCAAAGACGCTTTGTTAAGTCCTTTAGAAAAATAAGTTGTTCTTGCATTTGCCCACACAGTCCTGAAACATAAATCCCAAAAAACGTTTGTCTCATAGCTAAGCATTTAAATGAATATTAATGAGAATTTTTATCAAAAGAAAAATTTTAGCATAGATAAAATTATCAAAAATTAATAGACCAAGTTTGAAAATAAAATGCTAAAGTATTTTTAGAATTTAAAGCAAAAATAAGAAGAAATAAGATTAAACACCTTGCAAACAATGCACTTAAGACACCTTGTATGAAAAGTTTCAATTACCAATTGCATAATGGATAGAAACAGCAGCTTTACAATCTCCAAAAATGCAATTAAATAAGTAAAAATAATACTTCGGTCTTTACATTTTTTTAAAATACCATTTGCTTTATATACTCTAATATATATATATATATATTTAAATTCATTTGATTTGATGAACTGATGGCTATGCTTCTCAGACATCACAGCATTCAAACTACCTTAATAGATCAAAATGAGAAGTCCTATTTTTGAATTAAGTGCAAACAATTGGAAAATAAAAATGGAAATGAAAAAATCAATGTATTGAAAAATTAGATACACGTTAGTGCTATTACCCCATACATATGCTTCTTAATTAAAAACTTGTAGAAGTTGTTGAATGCCTTAGTTATATACAACATGGGCATTTGGCCAGCTCATCACATAATTTGAAAGATAATTTGTTGCCACAGATTTTTTAGTTTTTATAATCATCTTGCTGAAAGATTTTATTAATGCTTCTTGTAAATAATCTTTCTTATATTTTTTAATTCTAAAGTTTATTAATATATTTTGTTAATTAAAACTTTGGAATAACTTGAATAGCAATTCCAAAAATTATTTCTCAAAGTAATGCATTTTCATATGAAGTAAAGGAAAAAGATTATTAAATGTTAATTTTAACACATATGATAGCTTAAGTAATAATCTAAAATGGTACAAAAAAGTATGACATTAAGATTTAAACTTTTATGCGATTTTTTCCCCTAAAGTTAGGTTTACCAACACAAGACCCTCCTCCCAATCCGTACTGAGGGAACGTGTTAAACAAAAGTGCACTCCCTCGAGAGGGTTAAAATATTATTATTTATTTATTTTTATTACTTATTTTATATTATCCTGTTAACCAGCGTTTCTTAAACTGTGGGTCGTGACCCTCAGGGGAATTGCGGGACCTGCAGCAGGGGATCGCCAAAATATTTAGCAATTTTGATATTTCTTTAACTTATTATAATTTTACAATTACAAAATACTTTTACACAATCTATCTGAAAATAGATAAAAATAAGACAATACAGACAAAGAAAAAAGGAAAACGTTTCAACGCATTCTTTTTATAATAGAAACGGTTAATTTTACTTGCTTTGCACGTGACGCTATCACTTCGTCTGTTACTTATTTAAAATTTTCACACTGTTCTATGCCTTAAAATTAGAAATTAAAATTAATGACCTAAAACTGCAATAGTATATTAGAGTACAAGTGAAAAAATTGACAGTTTCACACACAAGTGTGTCGGATTTGCGCAATGCTTATGGAGTCCCACAAAATTTTCATTTATATTATGGGATCCTGGGGGTCATGAAAGAATCTCAATGATAAAAGCGGATCATGACTGAAAAAAAGTTTAAGAAACCCTGCTGTTGACTATGAAAGTTAGCTACTATTGAATCGTGAAAGCTGGCAGAGATTCGATATGCTTCATTTTTGTGCTTCATAAAAAGCCTTCTGTCAGTTTTTCATATTTTGTTAAGCTCTCCAATTTAACTGGAAGCTTTCTTTAGAATGTTATAAATAGAAACTTCCCACAAGAAATTGTTTCAATATATTATTTTTTGTTGCCATATTCAGCTCATTATATCATGTCCATTATTATGTATTTTTTTTTATGGCAGGATCCGATGACTTTGAAAATAATTCATTGTTTGCTATTCAGTAAAATGCAGGTCCCAAATTTTAATATTTTTTTTTCAAAATGCAAGAAAAAATAGCAACAGTTAAGTTATATCTTACCTTTGCTCATAAAAATAAAATGTGGTTTATGCAGAATCAATAGGAATTACATTTAAAAAAACAGATATTGTACAAGCTTATATGTAACTGATGCTTAGGCACTTACTTGGCGACAGTTTCACAAATGACGGAATAATATGTAAATACTCTTCATTATATGGGAATATTAATTTATTAGGAATTTTATAAATGTTATTAAATAGAGAGTTATTATAATCTAATTAAGATTTTTAGATGAATACCGATGTAAATGCATACTTCCACAATGATTTCAAACTATAAAGGAATTTAAAAAGTTTGAGACTATTGATTCAAGATTCTGATTTATTTTGGTCAGCATGTCTATAGAACTTGTTCTTATTTGCATGCAAGATACTTCCTTTATTTTTACTTTCTGTCTGACCAATGTAAGAAAATTTTAAGAAATAAAAATTTAAGTGAACAGTTACTTTGTTTGCTATATTCCAGAAAAGAAAATCTTAGTTTATGATTCTCCTTTCAGAATTTTCTTCAAATAATAGTATTGTAACTGTGGTCCAAAGACAAAGGAAAGGTAAGGAAAAGTTAGTGATACATTGTTATATATTTGTTCTGGGGAATATTAGTAGATTCAGGCATATATTGGAATCATTCAGCTAGACCTTGTTATTATAATTAGCAGTAATTATACATTTATATCCAAAGTAATTATTTGGTATTTTAACAATGTAATTATTATTTGTAGTATAATAACCTCCTTTTTCTTATTCTGTAGTTTCGCTTATCAAAATATCCATTTATACTAATCAACCAAATTTTAAAACAAAAATATGGGGAAAAAAGAAACAGGGTAATATTTTTCATTTTGAATAAATATTGTATTATTCATATATCATCAGCATTATACAAAATCAAAAATCTGAAAAACTGTCATTTCAAAAGCAATCTGTCTCTTAATTGATTTTGGAAAAAATGAATAGTTACGTCATATCAACAATTCTTTTGCACACAGTTCAAAAGAACATACAATTTTCTCTTTTGATGCATTGTTAGAAAGATCAGAAAATAGCGTAGGAAACACAGATTTCTGTTATGCCAATAATATGAATTATATATAATTTTTTTCAATAAATTGAAACTGTAATAATAACTGAAAAATGTACCTGTTGTTTGCAGTTAAAGATGCCAAATGAAATTCTCCCAAGGCAGGAGTACTTTGATCTTCCAGAATTTGAGTTAACTGACTATAAAATAAATTTATCTCAGTCTAAAATTATTTTAAAAGGAACAGTTTTTTAAAAAATAAAACATGCATTAAAATAATTTTCATACAAAATATTGACACTTATACCAACTGAATGAGAAACACCACATGCACACATAACAAAAAGACTTACATACCCAACTGCTAAAAATATTTCCAACAAACCAAATTCTGATGTTTGTAGAATAATCTACAAAGGACAATAAAGTTCCAACAATAAAAACTTGTAGGATTTCATAGAAATATAAAACTATCACCTTCCATGCTTTTCTCTTATGCATTGCCCCTGTTAAGCTAGAAATTGATGAGTAAGATTATATATCATTAACCCTCTGAGCGGCCCAGGTTTTTGGATCTATAATGCACTTAAAAAGCCTTTATTACCTAAATATGTATATTTACCTATTTTAGTCTCTATTTTCATAAATTTACATTCAGCAAGATGGCATTTATACTATTAATGAAAGAAAGAAAGCAAAATATCTTAAATTACAAGTTAATATATAACAAGTGACAAAAAATCTCATGACCGGATGAAGCTGATCATGGCACTCAGAGGGTTAAAAGGTTGGCATTTTAATTATACTTTTAAGAGGTTGCAATCATACATATACAAAAGAATCTGATGATGGAAATATGAAATTATATTATAAAACATAAAGTCAGTTTTGAAATACAACAGAAATAATTTTATGATCTAGATAAAAAAGTACGGATTTAAAAATTTGCTGTTATATGGTGTTTTTATATCCTTCGGTCAAAATGATGCTTTAAATTTTAAAAAGGACTTAGCACTAACATGCACATGCTAATAACTTGGAATATAACAACATAAATATTTAATTTGCTGCACAAAAATTTTTAACTCTATAAAAAGGCAATATTTTTATAGCAGAGATCCAAGTATTCCAAATTAACTAAGACTATAGACCATCTAGGATATTAAAAAAAATAAATCTGGATCACTGGAATTTTCCACTCTACCATTAGCAAAAGACAGCCCTAAAAAGGAATAAAAAAAAAAAGATAGGTAAGAAATATTACCGTATATGTTAAATAGCATTATTTTGAAATAATTATTACTTTAAGAGGAGAAATTAGATACCAAAATATACTCAATAAGAGAGTGCAGGAAGAAGTTTAATCCACAGCAAACGTTGATGCAAAAAGGGAAGAAGAAAAAAAAAAGAATGTAACTCTGCTTCTTACATTGCTTATCACTTATTATAGATGCTTACTTATATCAACTTATTTTGTCCATGATAGATATCAGATTTCTGGAACGATTGATATTTGCAAGAAAAAAATAAATTATATTAACTATGTAAGCTGATAAGGGAAAATTCAAAAACACTAAAACAAATGAAATTTATGAAAGTATTGACTGCAAGCAAGAAATGTAAATATAAATAGCGCATTAGTTAAAAATTAAAAATAAACATATATTAGGTTTAGGTGTGATAAAATATCACATTTAGAGAACTCTTTTATCTGGCATAATGCTACTTGTTAAGAATTAAAAGCGAGAAAAATCATGTAATTGCTTACATAAATATTTTAATAAAGTCACAATCATGATAATCAAACAATAGGAAGGAGAAAGATTATAATTCCAAATAAATAAATGGAAAAAAACCTGACAATATATGAAAAGTATGAAAATCTTTTTCATAAATTCTGTATATTATCCAAAATCATAAACCGATTGAACAAAATTTGAATAAACTAAAAAATAACTAATGGCAAACATTTTGAACTTGATATTTCTTAGCTTCTTAGGAGAGATTTAATAAAAATAGAGAGCTAAAATTTTTCATTCCACCCAATTGTTATCACAAAGTAAACTAAAGAATATCTTACAGTTGAAGTTCAGCAGGCTTCAAGAGACGACCTTTATTATAAACCATTAACTTGTAATATCGTCCTCTGTTGTATACTACAATATGCTGCGAATCAGAAAGATGGACAACACGATCTAAATAGAAATATAATAAAATTCTAGCAAAAACTTAACATTTGCATTCAGTTTGTCAATCTAAAATATATATTATCATCATATGCTAAAGGATTTAGTTTCATAATAATATTAACTTACTATTTCATAACATGAATACATATTTATATGTTTTCTTAAACAGCAATTTTGTCTGTTAGTATGATGTTACAGAAATTTGGTATCTTTAGTGATATGTAAAATAATTATACATACATTGAAATATTAAAGTGGAACTTAAAATTATAATTTTAAGTTCCACTTTAATTCCGCTATGATTGATTAATAATAATCATACATAATAATATTACTCATAATACGAGGGCTATCCAGAAAGTAGATTACGTTTTGGAATAAAAAAATAAACAAAGTATAGGAAACAAATTTTATTATATACAGATGAAAGCCACACTCAAATACTACTTTTCTACATAGTCACCATACAAATTAAGGCATTTATCATAGCGATGTACGAGCTTGGAAATTCCTTCGTCGAAAAATTCGGCCGCCTGCGCCTTCAACCACTTCGTTACCTCTTCTTGCAGCTGTGCGTCGTCATCAAAACGCTGCATAGCCAGCCACTTCTTCATTGCTGGGAATAGGTGAAGTCGCTCGGTGCCAGGTCGGGACTGTACGGCGGATGAGGAAACAACTCCCACTTAAAAGATTCAAGAACTTTACGAGTGACATTTGCCGTGTGGGGCCGGGCGTTGTCGTGAATCAACAAGATCTTAGAGCTCAACATTCCTCTGCGCTTGTTTTGAATTGCTCTTCTGAGTTTTTTGGAGAGTTTGGCAATACCTTTGAGAGTTTATTGTAGTGCCTCTTTCCAGGAAGTCCACCAAAAATTACACCTTTTCTGTCCCAAAAAACAGTCGCCATCATCTTCCTTGCCGACATTGTTTGCATGCATTTCTTGGGTTTTTGGGGAGAACTTGTGTGCCCCCACTGCATTGATTGCAATTTCGTTTCACAGTTCACATGTTTCACCCATGTTTCGTCACCAGTAACGATGCGATCGAGTAAAGAGTCACCATCCTTATGGTAAGCGTCCAAAAAGTTCAACGCTGCAGCCATTTGCTGATTTTTGTGGTCCTCTGTCAAGATTTTTGGAATCCATCTTGCACAAAACTTGTGGTAACCAAGCTTTTCGCTGATGATTTCGTGCAACAAACTTCGCGAAATTTGTGGAAAACTCAAAAGAAAGTTCCGTTATTGTGAAATTTCGATTTTCACGGACTTTAGCATCGACTTTTTCGAGAAGTTCGGCGGTCACTATGCTGGGTCTCCCACTTCGATCTTCGTCGTGAACATTGGTTCGGCCATTTTGAAATCTTATGACCCACTGACGCACTCCACCTTCAGTGATAATGTTGTCCCCATACACTTCACGAAGCTGCCGATAGATTTCTATCGGTTTACAGTTTTTTGCAGTCAGAAACCTTATTACTGAGCGCACCTCGCAGCTCGCGGGATTTTCAATTAACGCAGACATTTCAAACCGTCACAGTATCTGAACGGAGCACAGCACGAACCTCTCACTAGCACGGCTAGATGCAGACTGAGCTGCGCAACGCTCTGACCCCAAGATGGCCGCGCTAGCCCCGCCCCTAGCGGACACAGACAGAAACGTAATCTACTTCCTGGATGGCCCTCGTATCATGCCAAAATTATTTTGTAAATCACTAGTGAAGAATGCTACAGCACAGTAGTCTCAAACTGTATGTGGGTCAAATACACGATCTAAAACAACTAATATGAATTTTTTCCCAAAACAAAAAAGAACTTTTAACAATGAAAAACCTTTTTAAACAAAACTAATTAAAATTTTTCTTTACTATATATGTATTTATCAAATCATACATAAAAAGTAATAATGATGCAGAGGAAAAAACTCCTTTACATTTAATTTTCTGTTTGAAACCAAAAAACTGGTACCTGGAAGCAATTTTTTGGAGGTTATAGTTTGTAATTCAAATGTACTGACAACTAACTAAAATTTTCAGTCTGATGCTTATTTCAAATAATTCTAATGCACTGAATAAACAATTAAAATTACTTATTACAAAAACTTTGGGCAAGACAAAACTTGAGATCAAATAGCGAAATATTCCTTTTTTTTATTTATTAAATTTTCCTTTATGTCTAAAAAACAAATTTATGTAAAAAAATTATAAACTTCTTTATTTCTCACTATAATTTTCAGCGATACCTCACAACATTTTAATTTTGATAAACCCTTAAGAAAAACTGTTAAAAAAGAAACTATCATCATCCCGAATTGGTTCTCATCCATCATTCTGGTTCTTTTTTTAGATTTGTTAATTTTGAACTCTTGGGGGGGGACTGTTTACATATTAATTAACTCCAAAACAAAGAAATATTTTTATGGCAACAATTCATAAGTGAGGATATTTATCTTTTGACAAGTACTAAAAAAGTTAATCAAATCTGTATGTATACAGTCAAAAGTCGTTAATCCGGACTCGTCGGGACTTCGGCGATTCCGGATTATCGATTTTTCCGGATTATAGATCATCAGTTTAAATCTCGTAAGATGGCATGCAGAAATTCCAAAATTAAAAATATGAAACCGTAATTTATGAAATAAAGAACAATTATGATCTAAAGGGTATCAAAATTTGCAAAAAGAAAAAGCTTAATATTTATTTGTTTACTTTATTAAACATTTCTTTCAATGTAAGTTGTTTAAGTTTTGCTTCGTTTCATGTGATAATACTTTCTCTTTAATTCTATTAAACAGACATAATTTCTTGTTCAGTTACAAAGTTTCGCCGTTCAAGTCCTATAATTGCTGTGTCAAGAACACCGACTAATTTGTCAATCGAAATTTTTTTTGTTTTCAATAACCTCTGTCACTTTTCTTCGCTATCGGAAGCGAATTATAATGACGAGGAACTTGTTTTAAATCATATCAAAGACGGAGCATATCGAGATGAAATACTACATTTGGTAAGGAATTATAAGCCAAATAAAATAAAAACATCTGCGCTGAAGATAAGGATAGTGCTGACAAACCAACTTCCAATTCATTACGCGCCGCCGCCCCCCCCGCCGAGCAGCGTGAAATTGATAACACAGATTTCGGATTTCAAAACATACTTTCGCTTTAGATCCTTTACATATTAACAAATATATATCGGAAATTCTATTTGATATAATCGAAAGTTTAAGCTTACTTTTATAAAATTGCTCTTACAGTCTGCAAAAAATAATAAGCCGGATGCAATTCGAAAATTAAGGAACAACGCAATCATCAACATTAACTGAAATAGATAATTATTTAGCTTATTACGTCCATTATACATAAATGCGCACGCGAAAACGTATTCTGCACTTGCGCACACTCATATGCGCAGTCGTAAAAGGTCTTACGCGCACGCGTGAACGCCTCTGCGCATGTGTCAACGCGGCGCATGCGCAGAAAGTTTTTAGTTTTGATGTCCGGATTATAGATCATTCCGAATTATGGGTGTCCGAATTAACGACTTTTGACTGTATCTTCAAATCTTTGAATACAATTTATATCACAGTGCAAATTAGTTTTGTTTGTAGATTTTCTGGGCATTACGTTTGTTTTTAATGATAATGAAAATAATGTATAATTGGACTACAAATCATTAAAATCACAAATCTTCCTTGACATTCTTATCATAATATGAATTAATTCAGGGAAAATGTATTGGGGAAGGGCAACAAAAACCAGTTTGAGACCACTGCTTATACCCTATAGATATGCAAATTGTAAACAATTTTTGGATTATATAAATTTTATTTTGAAGTTAAACTGTTCTTTTCTATAACTACTTACTCCTAATTAAAACTTAAAAAATCAGATTTATCAGTATCAATAATTAGAAATTAAAACTTGCTTCTGTTTTTTTATTCATAGCACTGCACATAATCAAATCATTCCATTTCATTCAAAGATTTGGTTACATTAATATTTTACTTTTAACTATAAAAAGCTAGTTACAGATTAGATAGAATGATAAAGTGGTTAATCATTAAATTACTTTCTCTTTCAGTGACATTTAAAATACCGTACAACATTTCAATATATAATTCTGAATTATGTTTTTATCATATGCTTCACTTCAAAGTAGCTTTTTAAAAGGCTTCAAAACTGCATAAATACCAAAAATTGTAGAACTTCAAAAATCCAGTTATGTTGCAAATTGGACATTGTACTGCAGCAATTAATGGAAAAACACCAGTAAATTGGCAAAGAATAATATTATTGCATGCAAAGGGATTCATAATGGACTGGATGCACACAGAACTGATGATAGCTTGATAAATTTTACCAAAAGAGGTCAAAAGAACCCTTAAGGGTTCCCTTAAAGTCCTAGAGCTTTCCACAAAAATATTCATGCAGCAGTTCTCAGTTTCACAGAGCACAATAAGTAGTTACACTTCAAACTACTAAGAACATTAATGCAATGCAAAGTACATCTAAAGCTCACACGGAGATAATCTCAATACTCAGAAGTCGACTGTGAACTTACAACTGAGAAACTGATGCTCTCTCAGGTCTTATATAGTTTTTCCCCCAGCTGCCATAAAATCTTCCACTGAAACGTATTTATTAGTGATTAAGGTATGAATGTGTGCACAGCCATTAAAATTATTAGACAGGTCTTGTAACAAAGCTTAATGCCTTGCAACAAAGCAAAAGCTGTTTGCACATTTTTAGACTACATTGCTTTGCTATAAAAACACATTTTTTGCTTGGAAATTACTTTTTTAACTGCAACTATATTTTTGAAGGCATAAAATTTCACCTGCTTCTTGACAGTTTTGTTTTCATGCAAAATGTCGCTTTTAAAAAAGCAATGGATCGAAGGTTACGTTTACGCTTTTCTGAAGAAAATTATTTGTATCTAGTTATTGAAAACCACTGTGAAAGCCATAGTGTTTTGATATAGCTACGACAAGTAATACTGTCAAAAAGAAAGGAAAAAATGTCAAAGTTTGGCTTTAAGGACTACTTTTAAAAAGAAGATTGTCTAATGTCGACTTACAACGTTCCTTGGACTTTGGAGAGCTGTTCTAGAGGGATAGGATAGAATACCTCTTTGGATACTATAGAACACTTTATTGTCTAGGAAATTACTGCGCAGAAAGATAATGAAGAATTATCAAATAGAGCATTTAAAACACAAAAATTTTAGGTAAACTACTTCTGTAAATACAATGAAAATAGTCTAAAAAATGTGCAAACAGCCTCTGTAATGGAGAAAAGCACCGTTTAGAAAGAAAAGCACCATTTTCTTCAGAAATAGGCAGCCCAACAGTAGAGAATGCATTCCATTAAAATTTGCATTCCATTAAAGTGTGCTTCTTTAATGATGAATTCTATGGAAAGGTGTAATCAATGCATTAGAATGCAGAAAACCGAATTTGTTCAGTTCTCCAATTGACTATACATCAATCCCCATGTACATAGCAAAAGGTACTATGATCTCCATATACACAGCAAAAACTGGTTGCTGTGTACATGGGGAGAAAAAAGCAAAAAGAATGCCAAATCTGTCAAAAAGCCTCTGATTTTTTTAGGCACAAAAAGATAGCTGCATACATAGGAAGAATAGCACAAAAAGTATTACGCATAGATTTCTTGAAAAAGATACATGTTTCATTATAGACATTTATTGCCTTTTAATTTTACTGATGCATTCCTCTTTAATGGAATTCGTAGTACACTACCATTTTGTAAATGCCTGTTTTACATTAGCTTACCGAAAAATTAGTTGCTAATCAGTTGGTGACTTTTCAGAAGGGGCTGCAGATAATCAGAAAGCACCAAATTTTTAATTAAAAAAAACAATAAGTCTTTGAATTAATGATATGATGGGGATCATAGCTAATAATATAATAACATTCTGCTATGACAGGATGAAAATTCTAGCAGACTTTGGAAATTAGAGGAATTTGAAGTTTTAGTTCATTTTTCATTATCTGAGTTTAAGATTTTAAATTTGAGAAAGTAAAAATGCTCACACCTTACTGCATTCTAAATTTAAAATAAATATATATATATATATATATATATTACTAACCTTTTTCTACATCTGGTACACGAGTAGTGTTGAACATCCTTTCATACTGCCAAGCACAAAGTGGAATGAAATTTTGTATTGTCACCTGAAAAAATAATATACATTTTAACGTTCACAATAAACAACTGAATTAATCATTTTTATTTATTTTTGATGAAATAAGTAATGAATGCCAAAAACAAGTAATATACTAAAAATATGATACATCACATACTAGAGAAGTGACAAAATACAGTGAAACCTCCTTAACACGTTAAGCGCAGCGCCGAATTTGCTGTCCTTTCTGTTCAGCCGGCAGCGAGCTAAGCCATATTTTTGCTTAGAATGTTTCAATGCATTTCATTAAAACTAAATTTGATCACATTTCATTGAGACTATATTTTTTAACTTTAATACTATCGGTCCTGAGGACCGATGCCAGCCAAACGAAAATTCCAGGGACCAACGCCCGCCACACGGAAGACTGCCGGTCCCCAGGGACCAACGGCGGCCACACAGAAAGTTTACTGCCGGTCCCAAGGGACCAGCGCCGCGCTCAACGTGTTAATGAACTTTATAGTGTTAATAAGTGATTTGAATAATCTGTAAATCTTACAGAATGTGACTATCTGTGACATTTAAACTAATGTTTATGCAAGAATATTGGTCTCTTTCAGAGGTGATTAAATTCTATTTTGAATAATCTCTGAAAATGATATATTTTACAAATGCAAAAGTGAAGTATATATCACAAATAAATGCCCTTTTGAAATTTTCTAGTAATGCAAAAAAAAAAAAAAAAGTACAGAATAGTTCAAAATCAATAAGTACAAAATGAAAGCATACCTGTGACTGCTGTAATAAATTTATTTTAGAAATACAGATAAGATATGAAAGGCTAAATCTCTTAAGTTTCAACAGACATTTCAGCACCCTTTGTACGATGACAGACAGACATTTACCTGATAATCAAATTGGAAGAGAAACACACTAATGTAAAATTTAAATAAAGACAAAAAAGCAACCTTACTTTGATGTAGATTTTGAATAAAACTATCAGTTTCAAAGGTGATGAGACATAGGCCCCATTTGTTCAGGAAAAAGATTTAAAGAAAAAAAAAAAAAAAAAACTAGAAGTAGGAGAAACAACTATTTTATATCAAAAGCAATGTGAAAGCAAATGTAACACCCTACGTTAAAAAAATGCTAATGGAAAACTTGCCAACATCATGGCTATGTTTTTGTTTACTCAATATAACACTCTACTCAATATAACACTGTTGTACTCCCCACAATTTTTGCTAATTCTTTTTGCTTCTGAAGAACTATGTGATCAACTTCAAAACTGAATTTTCAAAGCTGAAATTTTAATAAAAATCTACATCAAACTAAAGCTGCTTTCTTGCCCCAAATTTTAGAATTTATGTGTTAGTCTAGTTCTTCCCTCCCTTGTGTCACCAAAGCTTGGTCAATTGAATCTATTACATCACCTGTCTGCTGTTTTAACTGCTGTTAAGTTACCTGGAAGATATGTTCAAAAGCCCTTTGCATACTTCCAAAGAAAAAACATGCAAGGTGTTAGTTCAGATGATCAGGGAGGCCAGAACATAAATGAAATATCACTTAAATCAGCATGGCCAATCTAGTATTCTGCTAAAGGCTCATTGAGATAATTGCATACATATCTATGCTAATATGGATAGCCACATCTTGCTTCAAAATGAAAGTGCATCTTTTCTTCCAGCTCAGGTAACAACTACTCATATAATGATGTTATGGCTAGTATTTCTGAAAATATACACAGTATTGAATGCTGCTTTCTAAGCAACCACCTTCAAAGATGACCAGAACTGGAATTGCATGGAGTTGCCTTACAGAAGATTCACTGTATCTGCTTTTTCCATTTAGCAAAAATTACAAAATTAAACATTATTCATACATTTAAATTTATAAATTTAATAAAGAGTCAAAACTTCTTAAAACTAAAAGGGATGCCTTCATTTCAGTTTATAGTTAAAACATATAGGAACTGCCACTATTTAAATTCACTGGTTAATAAACTCAGCCACTTATTATGTTTAAATTTCCAGGAACCAAAACATATACATATTAATCAATAGAAAAAAATGACAATAATGTTGCAACCATGATTTGGGAAGATGGGAAGGACATCATCAATGGCCGCAGATCTAAAGATGGAATTATTAAAATGTTGTTGATGATGAAAATTATGATTTTGCAGCAAATGCTAACCACTTCGATAAGAAAATTTGACACGAGTGGCTGAAGACTTTATGCTCCTTGGCTCGCATATTCAAAAAGTGTGATATTTTTCCCTTCTGCATCAGTGAAAGGTGTTTTGGGATCCTTCATTATTAAGCCATTCACACATTATCATGTTATGCATGAAGCTTGTAAAAATTATTTTTCAAATCAGTGGCACAAATCATCAGTAATCACTGCCAAGAATTATCTAGAAAATGAAACTGTAAATATAAGATTAATTTCTGGGCACAAAATAGTAATGAAAAAAAATCAAAAACGTAATAGCGTTAATAATTTCCATAGTCATGTTTTGTGGGACCCATGACCTTTCTCTAAGGGGTAAGACGAAATAGGAAGGGAATTATCAGAACCAAAGAATCGAAGCAGGAGATAAAAGTTTGCAAAGACATTTCAAAAAAGGTAGTAAAAATGCTACTTAAATATCAACTCAAATCCAAAATGAATCGATCAATTTGTGTGGATTGGTAGTGAAATACTCTATAGTACAAGATGCAAGAAAAGCTTCTGATTACAGCATAATGACAGACAAAACAAGCGATATAGCTGGGAAGGAGCAATTGTCAGTTGGTATTCGATTTTTTGATGAAGAAAAGATGGCTGTCTGGGAAGAATTCCTAGCATTTATTGAACTAAATGCAATTGATGCTCGTACTGTAGCAAATGAATTAGACATTTTTCTGAAAAGGGAAGGTTTTGATCTAAATAAATGTGTTGGACAGGGTTACAATGGATGTTCAACCATGGCTGGGTATATTAGTGGCATGCAAATCTTGCAACAGAAGTTTAAAAAAAAAAAAAAAAAAAAAAATTGTTTTTCTGTGTGCCAATCACAAACTAAAGTTCACAAACTAGTCGTGAACGACTTGAAGTGCATATCAGAAATCAGAAATACTATTTGCTACTGTAAAGGATGTGATAAACTTTTCTCATGAATCTATTCTACGAAGAAGATATATAGTAAGTATTGCAAACTTATATGACACATGCTGGTCTCAGAAATACAATATTAGTCTATTTAAAGAGCGTTTTATAAACATAGTACAGGGATTGGAAAAGTTCTCAAAAGAAGGTCATGCATCTACCAGAAAAATTGCTTTCCAATTATATTGTGCTGCAACGAAATCTGAATTTATCATGTACGTAGGACTAATTGCAAAATATTCGGCTCTGCTAGAACCTGTGGCTAATATTTTATAGTCAAAAAATTTAAATACACAACAATGTGTAGACCACATAAACAGGATTTTAATGCTTGTAAAAGAACATAGCAGAACAGCATTTTTATGCCAGGAAATTCTGCCTTTTGCAAATGATACGGCTGAAAGCATTGACACTGAATTGCAAGCACCGAGAACTGCAAAAGCATTGCTCAACTCCTCCAGCATCTACAACTGATGAATTCTGGAAAAGACCTCATATTATCCCTTACCTGGATTCCTTAATACTATCACTGGAAGAAAGATTTTCCAGCAATTAATTTACCAGCATTTTCTTTATTGTTATTACATCCTGTGGCTATGTTAAAGACACTAATGGAAGAATTTACCAAAAAGGCAGCATGCTTTTGTGATTTTTATAATTTGAAAAATTTTGACAGTGAGCAAGAACTCTGGTATAATTGCTGGAAAATAAAGAAATTAGAGATCCACAACATGAAAGAGGTACAACTATGGAAGATTTGGTAAAAGAGGTGACAATTTTTTTTCCCAGAAACAAAATGTGCTCTTCTTAACTTATATGTACTACTGAGCACTCATTTAGTACCCTGCGCAGAGTAAAAACTTGGTTGCGCTCTACAATAACAGAGAATTGCTTAAATGGGCTGTGTTCAAACTTGTTCAAGAAACGAGAATAGAAATAGAAAAAGAAGTTTTAGATCGATTTAGTTCAGATAGCAGAAAAAATGTTGTAATATAAATTAAAGACCAAGTAAAAAATGCTCATAATTCTCTTTACTCCTACCTCCCATATTTTAATGATCTGTTAAACTCATGTATTCCAGTTTTGTTAATCGTTTTCTCATTTATTCGACTGTAGCAAAGCATGTGACTGCTATCCTGAAGGAAAGCTGTCTCTGAGGGGAATTTTCTGAGGTAAACTCACTCGTATTCAATTTATAATACTTGAGGGGGGAACCCCAAAACCCTCATGTAGCCAACCAATTAATTCGTTTTCAATTCGAATAACTGGTGTTCAGCAATTTTAGCTACTCTACTACTAACGGATTCGTGTCTTATCATAGATTCGTTTTCTCAGTCTAAGATCATTTGCACCCCTCTAGCTCTGTCCCTCTTTGAATGTAATTAGTATTTCTTAGAAAATAAATAAGAGTATTCATCAACTCTCTGAGAAAACAACCTTCCACAGAAAACAAAATCATCTGGAACTACAGGTGGTCATCACAATTCTACTACATTGCCATTTCTCTCTATTTCTAACTTCACTGCTTTTTAAATTTTTCTTTTAAATCTTGATTAACAATTAAACTAAAACAATTAATAGAATGATGATAAACATAACACAAAGAATTACAATGAACATATTTAAAAGTATACTCACAGGTTTCAATGTTTGATTATTAAGGAGTTTACGGAATGTCAGGGCAGCATAAATGAAATTTGCAGCTCTTGCAGTCTGAGATGTTGTTGGAAGAGGCATATAATCCTAAAATAGATATATTTTCATAAATACAGAACAAATACTGATTGAAGCCTCAAATATTTACAGAAAAGAGAAAATTAAAGCTACCATTATGTTAAATTAAAATTTATATAATATTTTGCTTAAAAAACAAACTCGACATATAATTTTGCAATGCACCTAAAATACAAATTTACTCTTTTTTAAAACAAGACAGCAAAAAACAAAATTAAAAAAAAGAAAGAAAACTGGGTCTTGAATTAAAAAATATTACATTAAAGCAAAAAGTTTTTCAGCATTATGTGTCACAAGCCAACACTTTTCACACAAACCCATGTTACGATTAGGTACAACAAATGCTCAAATTCCAGTATTAACTACAATCTCTTACAATTTTTTTTTCTTTCTCCTCGTGTGTGTGTGTTTATTATATATATTTTTAAAAATTTCTCCCTCTTTTAAAATGCTCACCAGCTCTGAATAAATGCTAATTATTCTGTTTGGCAACTGAAAGTTCCGCCTGCGTAACCAGAAAGCTCAAGTAATTTTTTTTTTTTTTTTTTTTTTTTAAATTTTAAACATAAATTATGCAAATAAGAGACTTATAACTCCATTATGAAGCACAAACAGGACTATAATTAGTTGAATCAAACAAAAATTGTCACCAAACACCAATTCAGCATGTATAATGGATAAGCTTGATGTAATAATTTGGCCTTATGTAAATCTGATCTGGTATTTATCTCGTTTTGATGTATGTATCTGTTTTTCAATCACATTTTAAAAAAATGATTAAAATTTGAGAATTGTCTTCAATGGAACAGCATGCAGTAGAGTATTTTAAAAATTATGGGATCCTGGCATTAAAGAAATGAAATATAGATGTGAAACTGGAAAAATATATGCAAATAGATAAAAATGCTGGTAGTGCAATGTGAAGCACTATGACAAGCGATTTCAGTTTATTATATAGTATCATGCCCATAACTTGCAAATGTTGATTGTTTAACTAAATTAACAGTGACCTGTTTCTTCAAACCTCTGGCCAAATAAAGTTTGGTGAGATCTCTGCAAGTTTTTGTGATCAATGGAATTTCAAAATTGAATATGTTTGATTCAGTGTTTATGTCTGAAACGACAGTTTTTCATTCAAAATCTCATATAATTTATATGTAGGCATTTGATATTTAAATTCATTAACAAATAAAATTATTCGGTACTTTTCCGTTTCGCCGGCGCAAATCTCGCCAAGCAGACTTTATTGGCGACAACATACAGTATACACATAAAAAATATTAAAAAAATGTTAGTTTTAAGAATTTCTTTATTTTGAAGGCATAAACATTTTAATATCGCTTAAAATTTTATAAAAAGCCAAAAATAAAGACAATAAATTTGTAAAAAAACATTAAATTTAAGAATTTACTATGTTTTCATGGTTCACCATCCTGATTCGCCGGTTCGTATCACGTGACCCCAAGTGATCTCATCTCACGTAAACTACTCTACAAAATTCTAATGCTCTCAGTAATTATCTACATTAATTTCAAGTTAAATCTTAATTTGGAACACAAGTTTATATGCAAGAAATATTTCAATTCGTACGAATAGCTTACTCAGAAATTATGTAAAACTTTATGTAAAACTTGCAGTGCTTTACTTCGCTAATGCATTCTCATTAGAACTGAATTTAACACTTGACTTTACCTTTTCTATATTTTCGGCTTCAGGTAAGCACTGTGATTGCATTCTAATTGACTTAATTACGGAAAATGGCCTTAGACATAAAGCTGAACTATCTGATAAAAATTCTATGCAATTATATGCCAGTATTGAAAAAAACAATCAATCTGATAAGAAAAAGCTGCGACTTGTTTTGAAAATGAGGCGTAAAAGGTTACCAGCGAGAATATTCCGTTTGGCATCGGTTGTACCATTATTGGCTACTTTATCGCTTGCGCCGGCAAAACGGAAAAGTACCAATTATTCTTTTTTTAATATTAATTTTTTTTCGCTATTATGAATTGCACTTTTTATATGCTCAATGATCTGGAATTTTCGTTGCAGAGAATTCGACAAAGCTTTCTGGACAGTCGAGCTTTTACTGTATATAAGTTCAAGTCAATTTTCTTTTAAAAAGGTCCTCCAGAAAGGCAATCTTCAAGGATAGACAGTAGCAAAATGTTTTGCTGTAATAAATAATTAAAATTTTGGCAGAAGTGAAATAATTTACTTCACTTAATTTCAGTTTACAGACATTTATTTAACAAACTCTTGAATTTTTTCTGAAATGAAAGAGAATAATGTGCATCATAGCATAAATTATGCATAATTTAATGGATCTGAAAGCCTGTTCATAAAAGCTAACTTTCAGTCAACATATGCAAGGAGGTATAGCAACAATGCATATACCTCCTTCCTAAGAGAAATCAACGAACCTAGAAGTCTTATTAAGCTCTTCATGTATTATGCTTTTCTCTCGGTAATAAATTAATCAATGAAGCAATCATCTTTAATGTAGATACAGAATTAAAATCCAGAAGTCTTTAATTTCTTGGTAGCAAGATTTTAATTTCATTACTATTATCCATTAAGATATCTGTAGGCCATTAATTGATTATTTGTTTCCTAAACATTAACGAATACCTTAATTATTCATTAAGGTTTAAGAAATGTATATATTTTGAATTTGAAATGTTTTATTTTCCAACATTAAAGCTAGTATATACTAACACAGAATCTATACTGTTACCTTTTTTTTAACTCAAATTCTAAAAACAAAAAGAAAATCGGTCAAATATATAATCTTATCACAAATAGAAATGTTCTTGTTATTTTTTGGTTGCAGCCAACATAATTTTTTTTCTTAAAATAAAATTATGTAATTCCCACTCAACCTAATACTTCCTATTTTCAGACTCGCATTCAATACTTGATAAAAATATTGCCCCAAAATCTGAAATCTATTCAAGCATAATTGCATGAATATAAAAGTGCATAATGAGAGATGCAAATAAGAAGTTACTACTACGATCACTACATGTTATAAAAGCTACAAAAAAAAAAAAAAAATTTACAAACGGATGCCTTAAGATAATCATTCAGATTATAGATTTAAATCAAGATTCTTACATCAGTACTACACCTTTAACTTTCAGTGCAAGCTAGAAATTATAATTTTTATTTATGTTTTCTCTGAATGCTTCCCCATAATACAAGACACCTTTTGTTCATTAAACAGCTAAAATGTATAAGAAATGTACAAATGACAAATATAATCCTAAATTAACATTTAAAAAACGACAATACTTACAAGACCATAACAGTTACTGTAAACCAGCAATGCAGATCTTCCACTTAAATATACATAATCTTCCCACCAGTCAGTAACCTAGAAAAAATAAATTTTGTCATTTTACTATGAAAACATACAAAAATTAAGTATACTAGTCAAATACAAATTTTCTGATTAGCACAATTTAAAAAATATATACAGTCAAAAGTCGTTAATTCGGACACTCATAATCTGGAATGATCTATAATCCGGACCTCAAAGCTACAAACTTTCTGCGCATGCGTGGCGTTGGCGAATGCGCGTAAGACCTTTACGGCTGCGAATATGCATGTGCGCATGCGCAAAATATGTTTACGAATGCGCGTTTAATGTATAACGGACGGTATATAAGCTAAGCTAAAATTATCTAATTCAGTTAATGTTCCAGATTACATTGTTCCTTAATCTTTGAATTGGATCCGGCTTATTATTTTTTGCAGACTGTTAGAGGAATTTTATAAAAGTAAGCTTGAACTTCCAATTATGTCAAATAAAATTTCTGATATATATTTACTAATATGTAAAGGATCTACAAAGCGAAAGTATGTTTTGAAGTCCATTAAACAAAAAGTGGAATTGCTGCAAAAAATGGATAAAAGTATATCCTTTGTTTATCTAAACTTTAACGTTTGTTTATCTAAACTTTGTTTATCTTTAACACAGCAGGGGCGTGCAATGAATTGGAAGTTGATCTGTCAGCACTATCCTTATCTTAAGGGCAGATGTTTTTATTTTATTTGGCTTATAATTGCTTACTCAATGTAGTATTTCATCTTGTCTTTGATATGATTTAAATCAAATGCCTGGTCATTATAATTCGCTTCCGATAGGGAAGAAAGTGACAGAGGTTATTGAAAACGAAAAAATTTCGATTGACAAATTAGTTGGTATTCTCGACACAGCAATTATAGGACTTGAACAGCGGAACTTTGTAACTGAACAAGAAATTATGTCTGTTTTATAGAATTAAAGAGAATGTATTATAACATAAAAAAACGAAGCAACTTAAACAACTTACATTGAAAGAATGTTTAATAAAGTAAACAAATAAATATTAAGCTTTTTTTTTTTTTTTTTTTTTGTAAATTTTTTGATAACCTTTAGATCATAATTGTTCTTTATTTCGTAAATTATGGTTTCATATTTTTAATTTTATAATTTCTGCATGCCATCTTACCAGATTTAAACTGATGATCTATAATCCAGAAAAATCGATAATCCGGAATCGCCGAAGTCCGGATTAACGACTTTTGACTGTATATTCTTAACAGTAAATTTATGAGGCCATAAAGGTTTTATGACAGTTTTACATAAACGTTATTTTAGGAATAATAAATGAAATAAAAAACAGCTTTTTTTTACTGAAATTTAAAAACTCATAAAATTTCATTAAAATTATAATATGCATTTATAATAAAGCATAATGTATACTCAAAATTTTATTACATTCCCTGCATTTATTGAGATCTTTCTAATAGTTATACCAGTCGAGGAGAAAAAAATTGACATTTTATCGACACTAGCAATAAATACTTTAAGAAAAACAGAGATAAAACAATTTCTCCTTAACATATGAGAAATCTTAAAAATCACCAAAATTGCTCATAAGATAAGAGTCTAAAGCAGCAATCATCAAGCTGGATCTTGAAACTCTAACTGAACTCAGCGACTCTCAGCTCAAAAACACCAATATTTATTATGGCTGCCCAGGCATTTTTGGAGCCTCGAGAAAAACTGCGCTAGGATTATAAATCGCTCTTAGGTAAATACAATTTTTGCAAACCTTCAGTTTTCAGCTTGTTGGCATAAAATTATCAACCATAACAATTATTATAACCCATAAAGATAATTTCATATTAAGGTTCATATTAAGGTCATATTAAGGTTCTAATAACAAAATGAGCAGTTGCAAACACAATAAAGGCCATAAATTCAATGAAGCAAAAATAAAATTACATAAAATGCACTAAATAAATAAAAATAATATATAATACTCTAAAAATACAAAATCAAAATGCAGTCAAAAAATATTTACAAAAAATTTACGATATATATCAGCCAGAATAAATCAATAGTTATGGATTAGATTATTAATTTTTATAAAGCACAAATTAAACATTTACATAATTAGACGACCACCAAGATTTGAGCCATAGGTATCGTTGAAGCTTCCTGCCAACTCCAGACTGAAATTCATCGGTCATTTGTTTCATTTTCTCGTACTGTTCATCATCCAGTAAAGGGCGGACTGACAGCAAATACTACAGAGAAATCAAATTATTAACAATACAGTTAATAAAAGTAAATTAAAACCTCACAAGTTGTTATAAGCAGACTACAAAAAGATTTATAATTTTTTAAAGAAATTTAGATTGCATGATATTCACAAATGCCATCTGATCAAAGCAAAAAAAAAAAAAAAATGTATACATACATATATATACATATATATACAGAGAGAGAGAGATATCAGTCATTTGCTGTGTAAATATATTTAAACAAATATTTAAAAAGAAATAAAATTTAAATATGCACAGCAGTTTGAAAACTTTAAATAAGCTCATCATGTCTAATGTCAAAAACTTAATTGTATTATCACTACGGCAGAGCAAATTTATATTCCATAACACTAATACAAAAGAAAAGAGAATACATATGAAACCTTACTCGAGACATGGTATCTTCAAGGGAAGGCAAGGGCAACCTGGGCAACGAGCTTTGAAATGAATACAGCATTGGACGTCTCTTCATGGTCAATGTTCGAACTAAAGCCTATTATAAATAATTTAAATGTTTTGTTAAAAACTACAATGCTTAGAGAATATATAAAATCATTCATAATGCATGCTTTATTCATGACATTTATTTTTAATTTAAATACTTCCTATCTTCTTTGATTCATACTGCATACATTTACTCAGACCAGAAAATTATCCAGATGAACAGCAAGTGAAAGCTAAGTTATGTTAAAAAAACGTGAAGTACACTGGTTATCATCAAAATGCAGCTTACATACGATAAGCAGGTAATATGAGATCAAACTTCTTCATGTCATTGAGGTACAATCCAAACTGGAAACACGAGAAATACAATTAAAACATAGAAACATTCTTATTTCATTAGCTAGAAGAAAGAAAAATAGCAGACAACAAGCATTATTAACTCTTCATCTGGGAAGAGTAACAAGTTATGTAATAGAGTTTCTATATGGTAAAATCCATGTTTCAGTTAAGAGGATGAGGAAGCAACGAATGTGCAGCTTCTTTGCTTTCGCATCTAATAACAACTGTATAATCTCTTATTTGACAAGCTGTGTCATTCAAAACAAGCCAATTCTTTTCGATAAAAATTCCAGTTGTTACCTAAGCAAAGTTTTTGTGAGCATATCTGTATACATAAATTTAATGTTGCAATATTTTAAATTAACAATTCCTAGACTGTTCATTGTTAGATAGCCAATAAAGGCATGTGCTAACACATTTTTTATGTTAATTATTTTACATAATTTAAATAATTTGCTTGCTGTATTATAGGAGTATTCTCATACAGAATCTTCTGCTGAACTTTGTTTTAATACCCAATAATGAAAGATTTTGTCTATTTAATAGTTTCTCAGACAGTTTTGGTTCACTACCCCTTTTTAGAAGACCCCTCTTTACCTTTGTAACAATGATACACTAAATGTCTTTTGAATATGATCTGTAAGCACGGACTGAACACTAAAGTCAAGTGAACATCTAAATGTTTGTTTCAGCGTCTAAACAATCAAATTTTCTTTGCAACTTTTTAATGCCTACTTGCCTCAAAATATTCCTTTATTGCCTCTCAAGAATTCCCCCCACTAGATCTCCTTAGTATCCATTCACAAGTTACAATGCTCATGTCAGGAGACTATGGGCACATAAAAATACTCTGAAATCCAACTGACAGACTTAGAGTATATTAGTCCCCAAGATCACCATCATTAATTTACCATAATTTAATTAATTTTTCTAAGATATACTGATGCAAACCTCAGCACTTCAGAGACTTTCAGATTTGAAAAATAGCTACTTGGCATATGTCAATCTACTTTGTTGCTCTGTTGCAGCAAGTTGAAAGCATCTATAAATCTAAAGAAAATATTTTTCTATCAAAAACCTATAGTAATTTACTATTAATGTGCAATCAAGCAAATGACTGGAGTATCTTAATTAAATTTAGAGGTTTTTTTTTTCCTCTGTATGCTGAGCCTACCATTTCACTGATTACAGACACAAAGAACTGATAACATACTTACTGCCCAGATATAAGTTTTGAGAGAAGTTTTTTTGGCCCCACGTCCTTCAAACATCCAGCCTTTATACATAAGGAGAAGTTTTAAAGTATACCGCAAGAAAAGAATGATTGTCACCCAAAGACAGGAACTGTATGCTATGCATGCAGCCAGCTGCACTGTAAATGGAGCCAAGGATTCTCTGTAAAGTATGAAACAATTTATTTAGACATTCTCATTGCAATTTAGAAAATTTCAAATTCTAATAAAGAAAATTTATAGGAAAATTTTCAATCAAGTAACTTTTTAATTCAGGACTTATTAGCAGGTTAACTACTATTCTTATCAAAAATACAAAAATCTGTTCCAGGATGTAGTGCCAGTAAAATGGCACAATAATCAAAACTTACATTGCATTCAAGAAACTAACCCGATGATAATGGTAGCATTCAGCAATAAAGGCACCAGACTGTTATTCTTCTCAGTTTTCTCTGCCTTTATATGAACTCTGCTAAATTAGAAGGCAAGTGCTTCTTTCATTCAGACATTTAGTTGTTGAGGTGCATCCAGACATGCATAGAGGTATTTTACAGGAATGTAGACTAAAAATTTCTTGGAGCATCTGTACCGTGGATGATTTTGTTGTAATTAATCGTGATTAATCGGTGTTTTCATTGTTTAGGATATAATCACCGTGCTGAACATTGTAAAAATCTACGCGCTTGTTATTTCTGTGCACGTGAACATGAAAGTAAAAATTGCCCACATAAGAATTTGAAAGTCTGTATCAATTGCATTAGACGCAATCAAAAAATAAAAGATGATAAAAAAAATGTCAATGTAAGCCATTTGCCTTTTTCTGAAAGTTGCTCTTGTCATGAATTTATAAGAAGTCAAAATATATCAAGAACAAATTATGGATATAGTCATAATTTTATTTTAAAATTTGTTTCAAATTAATTTACATAGATGTAAGGCTGCTACTCAGCAACTTGTTTTGAATATGGAGGTAAACAATGTTTCTGTTGCTTTTATTCAAGAACCTTACTCTTATCATGGTCTTATGCCTGGCTTTCCGAGTTCCTTTAGGTTATACTATGATTTTAACTCAGAAGGTCATAAAGGCTGCTATTGTTGTTCGAGCCGGATTTCTACCTACTTTTTTGGATTTGAGATTCTTGGATTATAATATGGTGACTCTTGATATTATTTTTAAAGATACAAAATATTTTCTATTTTCATACTACTTTGAGCCCTCCCGATGTATTGAATTTGATTTGCATAAAATAAGTCGGGTCTTCCAGGCTAAGGATCTTGCAAAGCTTATTTGGGGTATGGATTCCAATAGTAAGTCTGAACTGTGGTTTAGTCCCTACAGTGATGCTCGAGGAAACAAGCTTGGAGATTTTGTCAGCTCCTATAACTTATATGTGATCAATGAGGACTGTGGCCCTACCTTTTGTTCAGAACAGGGATCAAGCTATATAGATGTCACAATTATGGGAGCTGATTTGCTAGCAAATGTTACCCGCTGGTGTCTCTCGGACTGTGAATCATTGTCAGATCATGCAATGATTGAATTCGACTTATCTGTTTCCGATGCTTCTTTAATTGCTGTCAGCAGAATTTTGTTTAATACAAAAAAAGCAAATTGGGGATATTTTGAAAAATATTGTTCACAGTATATTTCTTTGATCATTAATGGTTTGGATTCTTGCTCAAGCACTGACTCACTTAATGTGATTGTAGATTTTATGACTTCAGTTATTTTTCGGGCATGTATTAAATCTATGCCTACTAGAAGGACTGGTAGGCGAAAAGTACCTTGGTGGTCATTGGAAATTTCCATTATGAGAAAGAGAGTCAACGCGGCTAGACGGAGGTTCCAGAGGACTACTAGCAATGATATAAGGGACTTGTATAAGCGAAAATACCTTGATTTAAGGAAAAAATACAATGAAATGCTTATTGAGGCCAAATTAGAGTCTTGGAGGAAGTTTCTTTCCAATATCAATAATGAGAATGTGTGGGAAAAAAATTTACACTTATGGTATTAAAGAAAATTTTATGAGGAAGATTGAGATCTTGGGCCTTTGGCTTTCAAGCAGTAACTTTACGCCTTCCTTGGAGGAAACTATCGATGCTATTCTTGATAAAGCTTTTCCTCCTGATTGTGTGAGACTTGATAATGACTTTCATACTCAGTCGCGCTCATCTGCTCGCAGTAGTTATGCGTCTCAGATTGATCCTCCTTTTTCGCAGGCCGAGGTTGATGATGTAATTCGTAATTTAGGGCTTGGCAGGTCTCCTGGCCCGGACTCTATTCCCAATGAAACCATAAGATACTTCCATTGGCTTTTTCCTGCAGTTTTTCATAGATGATTTAATATATGTTTGAATCTTGGTGCTTTTCCACGAACTTGGAAGAACACCCTTGTTATTGTGATACCCAAGAAACAAAGTTTTACTGTTCCACATGTGAATAATCTTAGGTGTATCTGTCTTCTTTCTTTAGGTAAATGTTTTGAAAAACTAATTACTAACAGAATTACTTGGCATCTACATAAAGAAAATATTCTTAGTGCTGACCAATATGGTTTCATTGCTCAAAAACGTGCTGAAGATGCACTTCTGCGTCTTAGCAACATTGTACAGAGGGGTAAGATGAGAGGTTTGTACACTATTTTAATTTTTCTTGATATTGAAGGAGCTTTTGATAATGCATGGTGGCCTGCTATTCTTAATTTACTAAAAGAAATGAAGATACCTCAAAAATGTGTTTAATGTTATTTCTGATTTGCTGAAAGACAGGACGGTCGAGCTTTCTTTGGGTGGCACCTCAAGTGTTCGTCGACCTCAAAGAGGTTGTCTACAAGGTTCTGTTTCCGGTCCCAAGCTTTGGATTATTATTATGAATGATCTCTTACAGAAACTTTCTGATCTCTTCAGTTGTGAAGTCATTGCCTTTGCAGATGATTTGTTGATTTGTATTCAAGGAAAGAAATGCAAAAAGCTTTTCGTCTCGCCCAAGATGTTATAGATTTCATTTATCATTGGTCAATAGATTTTAAGTTAAAGTTTAACCATGCAAAATCCAAGACCATGTTTTATTGATAGAAAAATACTACTTATGAAGGATATCAATTGCTTTTAAATGACAATCCCCTTGAGAGGGTGAATGAAATTAAATATCTAGGTGTTTTTTGTTGGACAGCAAATTTTAACTGGAAAAAGCATATTTCCTACATTTCTAATAAATGTGAGAGACTTCAGCGTGGGCTGAATCGAATTGCTTGTAATAGTTTTGGTGTTAAATTGAATGTTAGCGCAATTATTTATAAACAAGGCATTGTACCCCTTATTTCATATGGATGTAGAGCTTGGGGATTGTCTCTAAAAAAGAAAATTAACTCTAAATGCCTGCTTCGAGTTCAAAGACGAATTTTGCTGCGAGTTATAAGCGGTTACCGAACTATTAGTTACAATGCTGTTTTCTCTCTTGCTGGATTTCCACCACTGGTTTTGTTTATTCTGACCTTTATAAATTACAAGAATAGTCTTGCAAATTACTCTAATTCTCACTTTGATCATTTATTGCCGTTGTCTGTTCTACCACATCCTTCTGTAAGACAACCAGTACAGATTCTTATTAGTACGGACACTGATGTTAATTCATTCTCATTTGTGCTGTATACGGATGGTAGTAGGATTGATGATAAAGTTGGTTTTGCTTATGTTATTTTTGAAGATGATATTGAAATTGAGTGTCACCAATTTCGCATTAGAAATGAATGTACTGTATATATTTCTGAGCTTCTGTGTATTAATTTTGCAATCAAGTGAATAATTAGCCAGAATGGAAGTGGTTCCAGCTACTTAATCTGTACGGTATCACTCTCTTCCCTGGAATCTCTTAAAAATACCTCTTTATGTAATGATATTATTGTCAATATACAGCAGTCTCTCGGAGATCTGGAGAAGAGGGGTATTTCAGTGTTTTTTACATTTGTCCGTGGTCATTCGGGTAATTATGGAAACGAGAGAGCTGATTGGCTTGCTAAGAATGCAACTAAAAATGATATTAACGTTTGATGTAAATATTCCAAAATCTTATTTAAAAAAAACATTCAAAGCTAAAATGATTGAGCGGTGGAACTGTGATTATATCTCTTCTGATAAGGGATCTGTTACAAAAGCATTCTTCCCAACTATTTTTGAAAGACTGAAAAGTAAGGACTTGTTGCTCAATTTTAAAGTTACACAATTTTTGTCTGGACATGGTAAGTTTAATGTTTATCTTGAATGATTTAAGCTGACATCTTCCAATTTGTGTAATTGCAGTCTTAGCGTTCAGCAAAGTGTTTTCCACCTGCTTTTTGATTGCCCACTGCTTGATAAAGCAAGAAATCTTTTGAAATGTAGATTGAAATTCATTGGAATTCATTGGCCGCCGAAATGTTATGATTTTGTATCCTCGATTTCGGCCTACCGAGCTTTCAATGATTTTGTTGACTTTTATTTTAAACACTGTTAATGATTTCTTTATACATTTTTATACTTTTTTTTTTTTTTTTTTTTTTTTTTTTTTTTTTTTTTTTTTTTTTTTTTTTTCTTTCCTTGTTAGGATTTTATTGTATTGTTGAAAACTGATGATATTACTTACTATTCTGCCTTTTTCACTTACGATTTGTAAGTCTCGTGTGATACTTTGTGGTGCATGAGGATTTCTTTTTCTTTAAATAAAAAAAAAAAAAAAAAAAAAAAGTGCTTCTTTCAGACCAATTCTCATTTTTTATTCTAACAATTAACCCCCCCCCCAGTTGTTGACCATCTACTTCCATTACAGAATTTTTGTCACAGATAGTTTTATTATGAGAGAATTAGAACATTTGTAACCATTTGCATATTACCATATGATGACAAATAGGTATTGCTCCATATCTAGGCAAATATAGTAAATGCATGATAGAAGACGCAGTAAATATCGAGACAAAAAATTGTTAAGAAATTTCCATGAGGGAAAAGTTATCTTAAAAAATGCTACAATGTACAAAAATAAGGAGAAGGGAAGAAATTATAAGATATATCTAAAAAAACACTAAAAATTAAAACAAACAAGAGAATTCTGTCGCATGAATTCCATCTTAAACTATCTAAAAAATAAATATATACATAAATAAAAATCCAAAAGGGGCATTTATTCTAATTGGCATAAGATTAAAATTTTTTTATAAAAAGTTTTAAGAAAAACTAAAGTCATTCCAAAACTGTCTTAGAAAAAGGGGGAAAACTGTAAATTTCTAGAAAGTCTATGAAAGTCTGAAACAGCTTCTAATGTTACAACACTTGCAGGAAAGGAAATTTATGGTTTGTATAACAGATGCAAAATTTCTCAACTGTTGAATCTCAATTCACAAAAATTGGAAATATGAAATCATTATACATAGAATTTTTTATTTAACTATTTTATCAAATGCATAATCAATAAAATATAATCTTACCCGGGAATGAAACTTTCTAACTGTTTTATACCCCCAAATGAAACATCAACATTTGCTAGAAAAAGAGCTGTCACCAGGGCAATGAGAACAAACAAGCTGGACAAGGAAGCAGGATAGATTCCACAGTGTATATTATTCTGAAAAAAATAAGGAGGGGGGGTGGAAGAAATTATAAGATATATCTAAAAACACTAAAAATTAAAACAAACAAGAAAATTCTGTTGCATGAATTCCATCTTAAACTATCTAAAAAATAAATATATACATAAGTAAAAATCCAAAAGGAGTTCAAATTTTAATGGCCATCCAAACGGGCTTTTTCAAAGTTTAATATGGTTTACCAGTACAAATTATCAATATAGATTGCCCAGATGAAATAGTAAAGCATTTTACAGAATACTAGATGAATATATATTTAAAACTAACATGGAAGCATTACACATCTTCAGTATTCAAAAGTGAAAAAATACATAACATCATTCTATAACAATACTAAATATTTCTAATTAGATTTATCATGAATTAAATGTATTTTTATTTAAATTAATCAGATTGAAACGAAAAAATATTCCTATGAACTATTTATATAGTTTTTAAATAGCTTAGTTTGTTAATCAGCAGCAAGCGATTAAATCTGAAAGATAAATAAATATGTTACATTTTGCAGAATAGTAACAGTGTTGAATGAAAAGTGAAGCAATGCAAAATTGGTTTTGAGATTAATTAGCTGTTTTCGGCTAATAATATACACTTTTAGACCAAAAAAAAAAAGACGCACTGAGAAGACATAAAGCAAACTGTACACAAATAGATACGCATACAGGTTTCGACGGAAAATGCAAAATTGGACATTTTAGCTGCCAATGAATGAACGCTTGTTGCTACAGCGCATCTGAGCTGCGCAATTGGCAGGATATTTAAGAAGAGAAATTACAATTTTCAGGTCATAAATTCTTCACAAATTTCATTTCATGTACTCTGGTAGACATTAACTATGCCTTGCATACAGGTGCATGAACAATATGCGCAGATGTCAGAATTTGAGAGAGATCGTGTAGTTGGGCTCAAAGAAGCCTGTTGGTCTTATCGGCGAATAGCTCGACATTTGAGCAGGAGCAATGCCACTATTAGACGATGTTGGCAGGAATGAGTGAACCATGGCCACACACAGCGTCAAGAAGGAAGCGGTAGGCCTAGAGAAATGTTTAGATTGGGATTCCGGATTATAGATCATCAGTTTAAATCTGGTAAGATGACATGAAGAAATTATACAACTAAAAATATGAATTCGTACTTTATGAAATAAAGATAAATTGTGAACTAAAGGGTTATCAAAATTTACAAAAAAAGCTTAATATTTATTTGTTTACTTTATTAAACATTTCTTTCAACGCGTGCATGCGTAAAGCATACATTACGCACAGACGAATTTAGAAAATTGCAACCAGAAAACTCTTTTATGTGTATTCGTGATATTTATAATGACGAAACAATTGATTTAAATCATATTGGAGTACATCGAGATGAAACACTACATTTAGTAAGGAATTATAAGCTGAATAAAATAAAAACATCTGCCCTAAAGATGAGGATAGTGCTGACAGATAGACTTCCAGTTCATTACGTGCCGCGATGTCCACCCCCCAGCAGAGCAGCGTGAAATTGATAAACAGATTTCGGAATGATTAGAGAAACAAATCGCCTCTCTGTCACTTTCTTCATGCCTTTATCCATTTTTTGCAGGAATTCCACTTTTTGTTTAATGGACATTGAAACATGCTTTCGCTTTTGTAGATCCTTTGGCAGCTCCAGAATCAGAAATTCTATTTGGCATAATCGAAAGTTCAAGCTTACTTTTTATAAAATTGCTCTAACAGTCTGCAAAAAATAATAAGCCGGATCCAATTAGAAGATTAAGGAACAACGCAATCTGTAACATTAACTGAAATAGATAATTAAATCATTTTAGTCTAGCTTATACCGTCCGTTATACATTAAATGCGCATGTGTAAACGTATTCTGAGCATGTGTCAACGCATGCGCAGAAAGTTTGTAGTTTTGAGGTCCGGATTATAGATCATTCTGGATTATGAACGTCTGGATTAAAGACTTTTGACTGTAAAAAAAACATGATTGATTTTTAAACTACATTAAATAATTTTTGTATATTTCTCCCTATACTTATTTTATATAATTTCTTCCAATATACATTTATAACAATAAACAATCATCAATTTTATAAAATTTATCATTTTGGAGATAATCAGTGTGATCTTGATTATGCATAATTACTCATACATATTTCGCTATTCACCCCTTGATGTTCACTGACCTCCTTTAAAATTTCATTAACCACCAGGAGTCAATACTGACCTTATTGGGAATCCCAATCTAAAGCTTTTAATACTGCAGATATGATTTTAAAGGAAACGTAACAAACTCTCGAAAAAACTCATACTGCTAGGGAAATTTATAGTAGTTCAACATTCATAATAAATATTACTCTTTTAATGCTTCAAACTAAAATTAAGAAGCTTAGAATTACACTAGATTGAAAAAAATAAATAAATAAATTACTTATTACAGAGCATAATAAAAAAGAATAATAATTTCCTAATTATACTATTTATTTCTGAATGACAATTACAGTTCTAAAGAGAAGGCTCATATAACTGTTACATTTCTAAAGAGAACAGTTCACTAATATGTAGCAGAGTCGAGGGTTGATAAAACTGCATAAGATATGCAGAGGGTAAAACAATTTCTACAAGATTAGATTGCATTCTGAACACAATAGATTACAGTAATTATTTGTTTTTTAGAGAAATTTTTGCTTATTTGTTACTGATTACAACATGAGCTTTTTATTATTTGAGAGGATCCTTTTTTGGGGGAAGGTGAACTTCCTATATGTTTTGGGAAATACGCATATGCGTGTGCGCATAATACGTTTACGCATGCGCGTTTAATGTATAACGGACGGTATAAGCTGAGCTAAAATTATCTAATTATCTATTTCAGTTAATGTTGCAGATTGCGTTGTTCTTTAATCTTCTAATTGGATCCGGCTTATTATTTTTTGCAGACTGTTAGAGCAATTTTATAAAAGTAAGCTTGAACTTTCGATTATGTCAAATAGAATTTCCGTTGCTGGAGCTGCCAAAGGATCTACAAAGCGAAAGTATGTTTCGATGTCCATCAAACAAAAAGTGGAATTGCTGCAAAAAATGGATAAAGGTATATCCTTTGTTTATTTAACCATTCTGAAATCTGTTTATCAAATTCACGCTGCTCTGCGGCGGGGGGGGGGGGGGGGAATTCGCTTTCGATAGTGAAGAAAGTGACACAGAGGTTATTGAAAACGAAAAAAATTTTGATTGACAAATTAGTCGTTATTCTCGACACAGCAATTCTAGGACTTGAACAGCGGAACTTTGTAACTGAAGAAGAAATTATGTCTGTTTATAGAATTAAAGAGAAAGTATTATCACATAAAACGAAAACTTAAACAACTTACATTGAAAGAAATGTTTAATAAAGTAAACAAATAAATATTAAGCTTTTTTCTTTTGTAAATTTTGATACCCTTTAGATCATAAATATTCTTTATTTCATAAATTACGGTTTCATATTTTTAATTTTATAATTTCTGCAAGCCATCTTACCAGATCTGAACTGATGATCTATAATCCGGACAAATCGATAATCCGGAATCATCGAAGTCCCAAGGAGTCCAGATTAAAGACTTTTGACTGTATTGCATTTGTTCAGAAACATAGCATTTTGCTTCTAGAAATGTGCATCCCATGAAGTTTTAAATTACAAATGATGACTTGCCCAAGTTATCTTGAGGAATTCTTTTGGAGAAAATTTCTCGAAGGAAACCAAAAAGATTATTTTGAAGAGAATTTAAAGTAGATAGCTGAATAGTATCTATTTGCTGTTAAAATATAGGAATCATTCAGATTGAATTGTGATAAAAAAATTATAGCACATCATGTACGAAATAGTTTTTTGTAGCAAGATAAATGCATTAACTTTATAATAAAATGCATATAAAATTATACATATGGTTAGCTTTTATTTATCTCCGATGTTACATTACTATAGAAATCTTGCGGTTTGAAAGTAGTTTATGCACTGTTCTTAGGTAATTAAAATAACAGTTTCCTCTGAATAAGTGCAATTTCCTGATGTTAAGTTAAATCAGGTTGTTGTGTACATGGACAGCAGTGCCATTTTGCTCTGCAATGCTGATAATTCCGCAATACGCTAATGCTTCATTAAGATAAAATAGATGGTTGTGCACACTGACAGAAGACCAAGAAAATAGAAAGTTAAACATTTTATTATGGGTGTTTGCTGCATTTTAAATTCAGCTAATTTGTTACTGTTTTATAAAATTTCCAATGTCTTGTTATGGATGTTTGCTTTGTATAATTTTTACTGTCTCGTTATGTATGTTTTTTGTGATTTTAATTCATTGCTGTTTTATACAATTTTCAGTACACTACCATTTCTTAAAATGAATACTGTTTTTCATGTATTAAGCTGGCAAAAAATTGGCTACCAATGACCGCCAACTTTGAAGGATGGTTGATCGGATAATATGATAGTATCCTGGTAAAATTTGGCATATTTCCTGTAAAAGTTGAAATCTTTCTCTCGCACATATCATACAAATAGTTTATGTGGAGGTGAAAGTAATAGAATGTAGAATAAAAAGTTTTAAAAAAATAAGGAAAATTAAAAAATGTATCAAATATTGCAAGTACACAGAACAATTATGTCATTTAAAGCATGAACTTTATTCAATTCATATAAGCAGACGCAATTAGTAAAATGTAAAAGATTTATCTTATTCTTCACACAAAATAGTTTTTTGTAGCAAGATAAATGCATTAACTTTATAATCTGTGTGCACCAAATCATTTTCTACAGCAAAACAAATGTGCTATGACTGTGAGAAAACTTACTTTTAGCATTTCAAATATGGAAAAGATTTTCTAAATGCATGAAATACCTTTTAAACTGGCACACTTTGAAAGTTTTCTATTGATAATATTAAGATTGAGATAAAAAAATTACTGTAAAAAAATTCTCAGAAAAATTACTGTTAAGAAGGTACGAAAATTTTTTAATTTAATGATGGTCCATAAGTAACAATGGTACATGCATCTTTTTAGTGAAAAACTATCTGGTGGATATTGTTTTACAAGGATAAGATCCAAAAAAATGTCTCTAATCAGAAGAAAAAGTACAATTAAAAAAAGTATATATTTTAAATGAAGTACCCTTTATTAAAAAAAATAATAATACATTCAAAATATAAATTTTCTAAAGTATTTTTTAAAGCCTGCAACAAAAAAACATCATTATGGCTTCAGAATCTGAAAGGTTTTAGAAAATATCTGTTAAGTCCTTTTATAAAATATATGGTTGCATTACATATTTCAGATTAAAAACTAAAATATTTCAGAAAATTTATCTCAGAAAAATTACTTAAAGTTGGAAATTAAATAAAGGGTTACCATAAAACGAGCAAATCTTTTCTTCCATGATCGCAAGCCACTGTTCCAAACCAGACTGAGAACTTCACGATCATAATTGATGTTTACTCCTTCATGAGTTATGGCGAAACTAAAAGCAACAGCAACGTGAGCCTCAGCCATTTTTTTCAATCTCTGCCCTAAAAAAAAAACATTAAAATTATACTTTATCAACCTGCTGCCTAAAAATATAATCCTACCATATTTTAATATTCTATTATTTTATATTTAATTTGATTCATATAGTTAAAATTTCATAACCTTGTTTTCTTTGACATCTATTTGGACATTTCTTAGATAAAATAAATTTTTGGGAGATATTTATTAAAACATTTAAATACAAAGAAAGGACTTGTTAATGCATAGGGTTTTTTAAAACCAAAGTTATGAAATATTGTGTAATCAGAAATACATATACCTGTACTCTAATTCTATGGGCACTTAAAATCCAAATTACAGGATGAAAAGTGGAAAATTAACCAAGCATAATAAAAATGAGTAGAAAACATCACTAACTTTTCCAGTGGTACTGCATTCTATTTAGTCACCTAAAACAACTTGATGCGAAAAATGAAGATTTTTTATTTTTTATGTAATATTTTATGCAATGCAAATTGATTTAGGTGTGTTTTTATGGCTTTCTGAATATGAATTATAATTATTCTATCAATGCCTTACTTTTAGAAATTAGTTGAGATAATGAATGTTTGAATTTTAAGTACAGCTTAAGTATAAAATTGTACAAATAAATATCATTTGAGTTTAATTTTTAATTTAAATGTTCTTTGAATATGCTAATTTTTAAGAGGTATCTCAAAGCAAAGTACAAAATTTAAAAATTCTATCAGTTTAGTCTTTGAACATTTACAGTATCGTCTATTCAGAAACTTGTAATCTGCAATAAATCCACTCAAATTTTCAGAAAATTGTAATTTGCAACAAACAAACAAACAAACAAATATATATATATACATATATATAAAACTAAAGAAACCATAAATAAAAAAGTAAAGAATCCAAACTTAATGAATTGTTCAGGATGATAAACAAAATTTGTCATCTGCTTTTTCAACTATTTTCTTTTTCACCTTGTTAATCCTTTCAATTTCATTTGAAAAAATGTAACATTTCCATCTTAACAATAACTGTCATTCCAAAGGGATCTCAAAATAGCAACATGAAAATTGTACATACGTAGGAAAAAAATAAGCTAATGTAATTCTCATTTAATACTGCTATTACATATTTTAAATCTCTGAATGTCTCAACTTTTGAATAAATATCATGATAAGAAAAGAATTAATATTAAGCTCTAAATATGAATATCTTAAAAAACATTTACCTTAGCTATAAAATGGAAATAATAGAAGGTTGTGATATGATTTAACAGAAGATTCGAGAACACTAATACACTCATAAATTTCTCACATCCAAAGTTAATGCAATTCCCCCCATACACCTATTGTGGAGAGTCATATTTTATCTAATCATATTCATGTAAAGAAAATCTTATGCTTATAATATGTTCAGAACTGTGAAAAAAAGGAAATAACCAACTTTTATTATGACATGGAATTTTCTACCTTTAAAATGTATGATTTTATACAGCATTTTATGACAAGGGTAATGCTTAACATATAACAACATTCTAAATATGCATATTAAGTCTATAAAACATTTTCTAACATATATTTTTGAAAACTAAAAGAATTTAGAGAATAATGCAAATGTATTTTACTCCACACACTTTTACTCTGACTGCATGAAGGTGGACCAAATTTACAGAACATGATAAATTTAAAAAACACTTTAAAAAGTAGGTAGAGATTTGGAAAAATACTTACTGCACACATTTTCTATACTCTAAAACCACCTTTGTTTTTATTTCAACATGCATATCACAATGACATCTACTGCAGTCATATACTAGGTTTTTTAGTAATACAGCTATTTACAATCTAAAAACTTTATAACAATTCTAATTCTGCATGCATATATTATTCCCAACACAGAACTTCAGAAAAAAATAATAAACGAAAAAAAAAAGTGTTTTTATAATATGTATGTATATAATCCACAGATTCAAAAAGTTTACAAAAAAAGCAAATAATTCAGTGAGATACATCTACTCCATAAAATGCGAAAACGAAAAAATTCATGACTTTTAAATAATCTACTCGGGTGATGCATATTTACCAGCAATTACAACAAGCTAAAATTTCCTTTAAAAAAATATCTTAAGTGTTTATAAAGCAATACTCTCAATGTAATTTGTAAATTTTTCGTATATGAATTTTGTTCTTACACATGTATGTAAAAATAGATGACATTATAAGGCTGTTTGAAGAATTTAAACGATGTTGGAAAAAAAAATGCGAAACTTCAAGTGAATGAATTAACCGCTTACTTAAGATTAAAAAACACTTAATTCTTTAACTGCATCTTTCCTATTTTTAAAGATATCCTATTATTTAATTTGAATTATTTGGCATTTAATTGCAAATGGAGATTTATAGGCGCAACTTACAATATCGTCTGCAATAAAAAGAACCAAATATCTTCTGCAATTGCAATGTATACGAGTCATTCTAATTTATTTATTAATTTCAAAGCATAGTTCTGATATGTATAATAATATTTGCTAGTAGCAAGGTGAATGTACAATAAGATAACATAAAATAATTAATACCTGATATCAGCCCAACACGCCGGTGCTGATCGATTTTTCCGCCCAAAACAGAGCGACTGCAGAATGAGCAAAAATATTTCGCAACGACCGTGACGTCAAGAACCAGATCGTGGGGTCTAAGAAGTTGTTTCCAGCAGCTGGTATTGCCTCAAACATCAGTTAAAAATCGGAAGTCGTTATTTGGTACGCAATTCTCTTTTTTAATGACACTAATATATCTTATGACAAATCAGAAAAATTAAGATGCATGTATTAAGTTGTTCATATCTAACACAGAACGCTAATAAAGCAAAAATTTCAAATTTAATTACAGGAAAGACAAAAATGAGTGATCTCTCTTCATCAAGAGAAATAAGAAGTTACTTAATTGCTATAAATATTTGAAACTAACAAATGACACTTAACTTCATCTGTTGACGGGAGAAAATTTTAAAATCAGAGGAATAAGTAACATTATTAAGTTCACTAATTCAAAAAATAACTACATTTCAGCGCATGAAAATATTTCAAGGTTTGTCTTATTCATGAGTTAATAAGGAGTTATGAATAGTTTTACGTGGACCAAGATACATTCGTGCTCAAAAGATAAGCAGCAAACGCTAAAAGAAAAGGTAAAAATATAAAAAGGGGTATTAAAACATACAGTTTACATATAAAGTAGAGGTTGCAGCGCCGAATGGAAATAGGCAATCAAAATTAGCATAAAAAGCAATCCCGCAATCACATCATACCGCCTTAAGAAGGGGCATGCCAGACCTATGTGTTAATCATAAGCAATGATAAACCCAGGACAGCCAAAGCGGAAACCGAAGACCATTTGTACGATGAAATGCGTTGGAGGGCTGTAGGGTTGTTGTAAGCTGGTGCAAGACAATCCGCTGTTACGAGAAAGTTGAATGTGCATCGGAGTGTCATCAGTAGACTGTGGAATCATTACCAAAGGGATCAAAACCTCTGTAGAAGACGTGGGTCTAGACACCGGAGGATTATTACAAAGGCAGAAGATCGCTTCCTCTTGCTATGTGCAAGACGCCGTAGCTCACGAACAGCACAATAGTGGTGTCACATCTCTCTGCTGCTGCAGGGCGGCACATATCTCGCCAAATTGTGTCGCGTCGACTGCGTGAAGGTGGACTGTACACGGGACGACCTGTGTTTTGTCGTCCTTGTCCCCATCGCATGTCAGAGGGTGGATGAACTGGCCCGTGAACATCGCAGTTGGACACCAGAGCATAAGGGCCAAGTCCTCTTTACGGATGAGTCTCAACTTCCGAAGAGCAATGATATGGCGAGATCCAGGAGACACACTATCCGCCGCCAGATATTGCCAGACAGACCGTTACAGAGAAGAAGGATGTATGGGCTGTGATAGCAACGAACGGTCTCACCAGCCTCTACGTGATTCCTAGTTGTTTCGTGACAGCCGACCGATATTACGACGAAATTCTAAACCCACTTGTGAGTCGTTTTATCGCTGCAATGAGTACCAACGCGAGCGGCCTGCTAGATCACCAGAACTGTATCTCATAGAGTATGTGTGGGACATGTTGGGACGAGGGCTAACAGATCGCGGTGTGCCGCCAGACACCTACCGTGAGCTCCGACATGCATTACTACTGGAATGGGCGCTACTGTCACAACAAGCGTGCGTGTGTGATTATGGCAAAGCCTCGAGGGTTATCTGCCTAAGGGGAGGGATGTCTTCGTGGAGGACCTTCTAAGGAAAACTGGCTCGTATACACGTTACACATGGGGTAAACCAGCCACAACAAGCGATGAATAATACTATTGCCAGCGTGCATCGCCGTTATCGAGCATGCATTTTAGCCAGAGGGTATAATATCCGTTATTAGCGTAATTTTCTCACTGCACATTCTTCCGATCCATTTGGTCGTAATAGATGTGATTTTGTATGTCTTTATTTTATTGTTTGCTGTGTGGTTTAGTAATGCCATACCAACCTCTTGGATCAATTTTACACATACCTTTTGTCTTATTCCGTGTTTGTCTTTGTGACTTATTATTTAAGCAGGGGCGTATATTGTTATGGAATGATTACCAAACTGTTTTGCGGAGCTTCCTTCAACGAGAAATTTTTGTGGTATTTAACAAGAAGGAGAATTTTAATGTGATTAAAGAGCATTAAAATTTATTATTAATATTAAAGACAAATTTAAAACATTTTTATGCATTAGCATATAATGTATTAAAAAAAAAAAAATATTATAAATTCTCCAAAACACTTCTAAAGGAAGAAAAGAAATCGAAAATTACATTATTGAATCCTGTACTCTATTAGAAGCAAAGAAATACTAGATTTTAATAAAAATTCCACGGTATATTATTGCAACAATTTTTTTTAATAATTTGGAAATAATAAAATGACTCATGTTGTATAAATGCGAGTACTTCTTCAATATTTGAATTCCTGAATAACAGAAGATTGTAAAC